TGGTGGGTGGACACACACGTGTCCAATCACAGATGCATTTCCTTCGATTTCTCGACTGACATCTTTGGTCAGTTCTGATCTTCACCTGGGAACATAGCCTCTCAGTGCGAACCGGGAGATGACCTATCCAGACAATGAGATGGTTCTCTCTAACCTTTTTATCTCTATCTCTCTCTTCCTCCCTCCTCCTCGCCCATCCCCTCAATTCCATTTCTTCGGCCGCCCATCCCGTTCCCGCCTCTTCCCTCCATGGCGCCACACAATCCCTTGCATTTCTCTTCCTAACCATTTCCCACGGCCTCCACCCGGAACCTGCTTTCATCCAACATTCCAGGGCAGCCGAGTTCCCTTTTTTGGACTTCCCACTTTCATTTCCCCCCTTTACGTTTTCTGGCGTCCGGCACATTTTAAGACTCTCTGACTTTTTGCCACGCCGTAGTGGGCACCTTCTCCTGAAGTTCAAAAACAGTTACGTACAAAGCAAAGCCTATGATCTGATGCTCCTGAAAAGCTGCCTTTGGCTCTTAGCAGCACAACTGACAAGGTGCAAACCCAAACATTAAGTGGACTCTTGGGAATAACCTGAGAGTAGGTTCTCATGAACATAAAGGGAAGGATGCCACGGCCAAAATGACTATTCAGAGTCGTGGAACCAGATCACCAAAGCAGCTACATCAATACTGTTTGGGCACAATCCAGCCACAGGTAAAAAACCAGTTTCCACGATGGAATTCAGCCTGTGCTTAATTTTGTCCTGTTAAAAGCAATAAAATTTAATGGGGTGGGGGGTGAATTCTAGCTGCAGTATCTTCCAGAAATAGAGGACAGTGTTCATATCATAAAACACCTAGAAAATATCCAGAGAAAACATTCCTACTATTCCTATCCAGAGGGGGCATGTGGAGGTGGTGCTTATTCAAGGCCACTTTGTAAAAAACAAACTGCTTGAATCAGAATAAATGAGGATCTCTATTCGCTGTGCCAACTCCATAAAACGTGGACATTCAAAACTAAGTATGCATGCACTCTGAAGTCACTTCGTTTTTAAACTGCATTAATTAACCGTAACCAAAGGTGTCCATGTTTTCGAAGCTTGCAGTAATAGCTTCAGCCACTAGGAGGCAGATCTCCCTGGCCAACCCATAGCTTTCAAGTCTCTGAGGGTTGTAGCCTGAGGGATTACAAACCAAAGGACCCGCCCCCTTCCCACTGCTGTGGGGCAGCTCCCCTTGGGGGAATGGGCTAGACAGCGCCGTCCCTCCCTCCCCTCAGGGAGCTATGGGGTGCCCCATGGAAGGTGCCAGCAACCATGTCCATCATCGGCAACGGTGCAATCTATTCCGACCCATTAATCCAACCTGTGTTCAGTGTTGTGTGCATCCCATCATACCCATCTGCCAGGATTCATGGGGGACTGCTGCCCTCTGGTGGCTACTTATGGCATTGTCCCTGCAAGAGCACTTTCTCTGAGCTTTTACAGAGATTAATTTGAACTAGGTCTTGGTATTCGAGATGACACTCTCCATCCAAATCTGCTGGACTCTGATTCTCCCAGGTGGCCTGATACATGCATCACCTCTGTCTCAAGGATGGCAAAACATTTGTTGATGCACAACTACCCAGAAGGTTCATTTTAATTGTTCGAGTTGCCTTCAAGAAACAATACATGTTCAGTGGCCTCGTTCTTGTGCAGAGGATTGAGAATGGGCTGATACTCCTCAGAGCTAATGGCTGAATGAGAAAGCAGAAGAAGCTCAGGCTTGGCTGGATCTTGACTGGAGAGCTTTGCTCTGCAATCTGCATTTTGCACTCATGAGGACTAGCTACTTCTCTGTGCTAAGAAAGGAGGCCAGTCTGCATATTCTAAGGGAAATCTCACTGTACTGATACTCCAAGAAGCAGGAGACCCGCTCAGCCACTCCAGTGGACTACCACTCCTATCAGCAGGGGAAGTGGGACTGATCAGCGGGGTGGTTAGTGATGTCTATGTCAGAGGGGCTCTGAAAAAGTTTTATTGCAGCATTATCGGAGAAACTGTCCATAGCGCAGAAATCCTTCCCCAGGATGGCTCTGTCACTATATAAAGCCCAAAATGCTTAACAGCAACACCAAATAATCCAATAATATCAGAAGACAACTCCATGAAAAAGAGTCTCACAATCAAAATCCTGCAATAGACTCATAAATAACTTTCAGTTCAGACCTTCAGCATCGTCAGTTAATAAATGCAGAATGCATAGATGTGTTGAATAAACAAAGGAGTAATGAAATACAACTCAGTATTAAATCAGAAACATTTACATCGCAGTAGCAAATCATACGGAACAAGAGTACCTTCTCTGGAAGTAACAGAAAGGGCACCGTTTGTGCATGTGTCAACAGAAGAAGGCCTACAACACCCATCATTTTGTTTAAATGTTAAAGCCTTTTTATTTAATTGCTATTTTAAAAATAAATATTTTATCATTAACAGTCACTTTTTTGTTTTTTGTTTTGATATAATATTTTATGGAGTCTGTTGTTGTTTTTATTGTTTTTAATAAATAAATTTATTCATTTAAAACTTTTATATGCCATCCCTTATGCACAGCATCTCAGGACAGCTTACAATTATTAAAACAAACACAATAAAACATCATCTCAATATAATGAATAACTATTAACCAAAAAATACAAGTTAAGTAAGTTAAATAAAAGTGACTGTTGAACATTAAAATTAGTTTTTAAGATAACAGTTAAATAAAAAGGTTTTAACCTGGTGCCGAAAAGAATATAAACTTGGCGCCAGGTGAACCTCTCCGGGGAGCACATTCCACGATCCGGGTGCCACCACAGAGAAGGCCCTCCTCTGAGTAGATGTCCGTTTTACCTCCTTCAGGGAGGGTTCTCAGAGCAGGGCCTCTCCCCAGATCTTAAGGGGCGTGAGGGCATATAAGGAATGAGAGGCCTTTTTCCCAACTAAACATGCATAGGATTGCACTTTAAAAGAAGGGGAATGGCAATTCAGACCACAACAGGGCCACAATCAGAAAAGCGGGAAGTAATACAAAACATGGGGCAGATCTCTCCCCAGTGTAAGCCAAGGTATAGATTCTAGATTGGTTTTCCCAAACTGGTTTTCTTCCACATATTCACCACTTTCACCAGCCGGAGTGGTGGATAATGGGAATTGTAGTCCAACAACTCTGGCGGAGAACCGAGTTGGACAGAACCACTATAGATCAAGTCATACGGGGCCAGGAAAAGATCGATGGCTTAAGCATCCAGAAAGCATTTCCTCATTTTAGAGAAGGCGAACGCTGAGACTGCTTTCTGGGGAGAAACTAAGTCTGAGATCACAAAAGTGTTTGGCGCAGGTAACTCAAGAAAGTGAGCCAACCCGCAGGCTGCAGGGGAATGCATGCATACCTAGAAATGAAGCCCATACAAAAAACACTTCCACAGGGAGCTTTTCTACATGGGGACTTCACTGGATAGTCATGATTCCTCACTCATATTCCAGGGAGTCTTGCCTTCTCATGATGTGTCCAAAGTAGGGCAGCCTCCATTTTGGCATTTTCGCTTCTAGGGCAAAAGCTCTGGCTTGCTCTGACCAAGGACCCCCATGTTTATCTTCCTGCAGGTCCAGGGTATTCACACAGCATCATATTTTGAATGCATCCGTCCTTTTTCCTGTCCACTTTCTTCTCTCCAGCTATCACGTTCATACAAAGGGGTCGGGAATACTGCCACCTAGTGGTTCTGTGGTGGAACATATATAAAAGCAAAGAAATAAACGGGGGGAAAGAGGAAAACGGGTTCAAAGGAGCATGTTTCCATACTTCAGATTATCTGAAGGTGGCTTCATACTGCAAATAATCCAGAAGGCCTCCTGCAGAAAAACCCGAAGTCGTTCACTCAAGGCTTCGGTGCAAACTGGAGCAGGAGGGGGTCCATTTCGGCATGAGTAAATGATGGACTCTCCCAAGGCAGGGATGGAAAGCGTGTGATCTCACCGGGACCAACGCAATCCAGCTTATTAATACATGATCTACCAAATGTCGTCTTTAGAACGCTTCTGTTTAGCTGCACTGGTAAAAGTCGCCACCATGCAGTTAATTAGATCTATTTATTTATTTGGAGTATTGGTATGCCGTCCCATCACATAGTCTGCGAACGGCTTACATAAAATAGTATCAGACATAATACAAATAAAATCCAGATCCACCCTGGCTGCAGATTTAAACCTATAAGCCGATGTTGAAAGTTATTAAAATATTGTTGAAATAAAAAGGTCTTAGCCTGGCGCCAAAAAACATATAATGACGGCACCAGGCAGACCTCTCTGGGGAGCGCATTCCACAGATGGGGCGCCACCACAGAGAAGGCCCTCCTCCGGGTACTTTGCCTCCTGATGTCTCTCACGGAGGGCTCCTGAAGGAGGGCCTCTGCTGCCGATCTCAGGGGGCGGGAGGGCAAATATGGAAGAAAACGTTCCTTTAGGTATCCAGGTCCCAAGCCGTTAAGGGCTTTCTAGGTGATAACCAGCAGCTTGAATTGAGCCCGGACTTTGATGGGGAGCCAGTGAAGCTGGAAGAGGACTGGGGTTATATGAGAACAATGCCCAGTCCCCGTCAGCAACCTGGCGGCTCTATTTTAAAGAAGACATTTGATAGATGATTTTATAAAAGACATGAACGCTGCAAAGTGCACTCCACGGGCATGGGAAATGGGTCTCCGGATGTTGCTGGATTGCAGCTCCCATCATTTCACTCCACGGGCCACGCTGGCTGGGGCTGATAGGCTCCAGAGTCCACACCCACTCCCGGCTCTCGCCGTACTAGACAAGATGCTGTTGGTTCGCGCCTGCGCGCTTTCCCTCGCCTGCCACCCGCTAGTTCTGCCTACATTTCCCAGAAGGCTCCGAGGCAACAGGAGGAAGCAGAGAGTGCCGGAGCCCTCGCAGAAACTGCATTTCCCAGCGACCCGTTGGGCAGCGAGGCGGAAGCGGCCGTTCTCGCTCTGTGCTTGTTCCTCCGGCTCGAGCACGGAGACTGGGCGGGTGCAGATGCAGATGCCGAGGATTCGCGGGATCGGAGCGGGGCTCCTGGCCCGGGGAAGCCGCGGAGGGCTGCAGTCGCTGCGAGGTGCGTTCACTCCCTCCCCGGCTGCCGTGCAGAGGCCTCTCAGGGCCGCCGGCCCTGCAAGTAGCACGTGGACGTGCCCAGGGTTGCGCCCCAGCACCCAGCCTTATGCACGCCGGGACGGGAAAACAGCCGCCCGTGAGGCCACGAGGGCTAGTAGCCAGGGATAGCCTCCTGCGTGAAGCTGCTCAGTCCCCCTTTTAGAGCAATCCCAGTTAGTGGCCATGCGTTCCTCTCGTGGCAACGAATTCCCTGATTTAAAGGTGTGAATAGATCTTTCCTTTTATCTGTCCTGAATCTCCCACCCTCTAGCTCAGGGGAGAAGTGCACTGGGTCCTAGTATTAGGAGAGAGAAAGAACTGTTTATTTATTAGATTTATATCCCACTTTTTTCTTTTTTTAAAGAGCTCAAAGCAGCTTATATCATTCTCCATCTCCCGCTCACAATCTTATCCCCCAACAACAACCCTGTGAGGTGGGTTGGGCTGAGAGTCTATGACTGGCCCCAAGTCACCCAGTTGGCTCATGGCCGAGCAGGGACTCGAACCCAGGTCACCTGAGTCCCAGTCCTGCATCTTAACCCACCACAGCACACACAATCTCTCCCCGTCTGCTCTGTCCACATGACGCCTCATTTTATACACCTCTTTTGTGTTCCATTTTTTAAGTTACACAACCCCAGCTGTTGTAACCTTTCCTCTCAGGGGAATTGCCGCAGCCCCTTCATCATTTTTGTTGTCCTTTTCTGCACTTTTCCCTACTCTGCAATATCCTTATGTAGGATATATCTCAAAATCATGCGCTGCGTTCCCAACATGGTCACACCATGGATTAGTGTGCGTGGAGCACAAGCCTGGCATTTTATTTTCAGTTCTTTCCCTCGTTATGCCTAACGCTGGACTGTTGTTTTTTGCAGCAGCTCCTCATGGGTTGGGGGGGACATTTTCTGCAAACTGTCCGCTGCAACCCCAAGATCCCTTTCCTGACCAGTCACCACGGCTCAGAGCAGCCTATCCCAGAATCCGGGGTTTTTGCCCCAGCCTGCGTTACTTTGTACTTGCTTCCACTGAGTTGTGTGCATCATTTTGATGCACATCCTCCTAGTCTGGTCCTGTAAGGAGTGCTTTGCTAGTGTGAGAAGGCATCAAGTTCCCCTGTATAAGCATCTTTTCCGGTTTATCCTCTTCTCTTTGTGGTATGTTTACTATGCTACTACTGCTGCTGCAACACTGATAGATATTGCCTCAACTCATCTGCCCCCAAGACATTTGCAAAGCAAATTTTGACATGAAAGAAGGGAGGGAAAGAGCAGCAGGTTAAGAATATGGTCCAGTGTGGTCACATGTGCTTAGGTTTAGTTTCTGTAGGTTTACATCAGTTTTTGTGGGAAAGGCAGGCCATTCTAATTTTAATTTTATGTTGTGAGCCGCCCCGAGGCTTCGGCGAATGGGGCGGCATAGAAATGTTTTAATAATAATGATAATAATGATAATAATAATAATAATAATAGTCTGGCATGCTTCCTTTGTAGCTGCCTGCCATCCCATTTTGTTTTAAAGATTTGGTGCCACTGGCAAACTTGGCTTCTGGGTAGAGGTGGGAAGGCCCCTAGGTCACCCCGAAGAGAGCCGCTGTCCTCCCAGAAAGACCCCCAGAGCACCATGCATGCTGCCCATATCACATGTCAGTTCCTACCCACCATCAAAAGTCATAGCATGCAAGGAAACAGGGATGGGATCGGGAGAGGAAAAGTCAGTTTTCATTGAACAGGGCTGCTGGTAGTTCAGGACTCCATCTTCCATCAGTCCCGGCCAGCACTGTCGATGGCCAAGGATTATGAGTGTTGTTACTCCAAAATACCAGCAGGGAAACAGGTTGCCCAGACGTGCTCTAACCTTCTGTGCGCCTTTCCCACCTGCCTGGACTTTTAATTTCTGGAAGCATCAGAACAGTTCCGCTGGGTCAGTCCAAAGCACTCTCCAGCCCATCATCCTGAGCTACACGCTGGCCGGCCAGAGGCTTCCAGAAAGCTGACAATCGAAACGCGAGCGTGATTGGCCTTCCCTTCTGTTGTAGCCGAAATACCGGTCCTCACATCTTCACAAAATGCACTGGGGATTTTTTAGGGATATTGGAGCAGAGGTCCTGCGGAGGATGCTTGGGGGCTCTCGGTGATCCTCGGGCAGATTCAGGCTGCAGGCCTGCGTGGCTCACCCGGAGTACATCTGCTGAGGACCAGCAAGCGGGGCTTGTCTCTGCAGACACACATCCTGCAGGGCTCCCCCCTGGGGCTCTTACAATGCAGCGTCTGACATTTTGCAAAGGAGGAGGCATCTGAATGTCACTGTGCTTCTTAGGTGTTGCTGCCTCCAACCCGGCCAAGTCCTACGATGTGCGGAGAGTCGAAATCACCCCGCTGGAGCAGAGAAAGCTCACCTTCGACACCCACAGTCTGGTGCGAGATCTTGAAGCTCGTGGTGAGCAAAGGCCTTGAAGTACTCCTAAACCCTTTTCCCCGAGCAGCTCGTTTCTTCTGTGCAGGATTCTTCCCTGTACTGAAGAATAATTTTGTGAGCACTTTCTTATGGTGGGTACCGAGCCATAAGAGTGCTTGCAGAAAAAATATTCTTTTTTCTGGGTGAAGGTCAACCAGTACTCTTAGAGGTGCCATTGGAGTGCAGGAACTTCCGAGTTATTTTTATTTTAAAAAATAAAACCCTAATATTAACAATATAATAGTACTATTAAGAATAATAATTTCATTTTTTTACTGCCTGTTGCCAAAGCAATCTGGACGGTTTACGACAGAGTTTACTCTCCTACTCACTCCGCTCTTCCTGTTTCCATTGCTGCTTAGCGTGTTACTGGTGTGTGTTGACTTACCAGGTACCCTCGGAATCTTTTGGACTTCAGCTCCTCTCATCCACAGCCAACATGGCCAATGGTCAGGAATGCTGGGAGTTATAGTCCAAACCATCTGCAAGGCACCAGTTTGTGGGGGGCTCATTAAGTGGTTTTGATGCAACAATTTCACATTGTGCTTACAGTTTTCAAGCAGGCTGAAAGGAGGAAAAGGTGATGTTCTAAGAGGGGGAGGAACCTGCATCGCAGGCAAAACACGGAGGTGTTTTCCAGGAGGGCTTTCCAAGTGCAGATGTCCATTCCTGTTGGAGAGAAAGCTGATGCATAGTATTTGAAAATAAGCCATTTAGCCGGTAGATCTAGAGTCTTTACAAGGACATAAAAGGACACAAACCTTGTATGAAAGAAAGGGTTTTGTCACTGGACATCTGTTTTGTGTCTTATGAAATGCTCTTTCGCAGAATAGAAGATTGAGAATCTTTTTGGAAATGCCATGCCTGATTTCTCTCTCTCAGTGGCTCAGTTTTTGTGAATTTGTAGATGAAATAAAGACATAACAGACACACCGTGTCCACCATATGGCTTTCTACTACCCAGATGTAGCCTGAACACATTTGCAAATCAAAGTGAAAATTGAGCTTCTGTATAAATGTAGCTTTTGGAGTTGCACTCTGCTCTGTGGGTCTTCTTTCATTCTGTCCCTTCGTTAAAGAAAATTAAAAATGGACCTGTGTTGCATGTAGGGAAGACCCTGGGCCTAAGGCTGAAGGCTCTAGCATCCCTCATCCCGCTCTCCTTAAATAATGTCTCTCCTTATTCCTTTTCCTACTCTGCAGGTTTCGGGAAGGAACAGGCTGAAAGCCTCGTGTCCGCGCTGTCCTCTTTGTCGACTTTCAGCCTGGAGACCATCTACAAGGACATGGTGACCCAAACTCAGCAGGTAGCGAGTGCCTCGTCATTTGGTTCCTTGCCCTCTGCCCACCTGAACGCAGTGAGCAAGCCGCGCCTTTCACATACGCAGGGCATTGCTGACGCCTGGGCTGGCCTGCCCAAAAGGTTGCTCCGAGGTAGCGTCTCTGCTCAGGAGGAAAATGGCTTCCTAAAGAAGGGGACCCAAAGTCGTGAGATCATGGTCATTAGAGTCAGTGCAGCGCAGGGCCACAAGGTTGGTGGCCAGTTTGCAGGGGAAGCCGTATGAGGCGAGACTGAGGGAACTGGGTCTCTTCAGCCTGGAGAAGAGGAGACTCAGAGGGGATCTGTTGGCGACATACAGGTATGTGAGGGGGAGTCACACAGAGGTGGGTAGAGACCTGTTCTTCCCTGCAGAGGAAGGCAGGACGCGCTCCAACGGAGCCAAGCTCAGGGAGCCAAGGTTCCATTTGGATGCCAGGAAGCACATCCTGACAGTCAGGACCCCGAGGATGTGGAATGAGCTTCCAGGGGAGGTGGTTGAGGCCCCACCGGTGAGGGTGTTCAAAGATAGGCTGGATGTCCACATGGTGGGCATGTCGTGAGCGGAGCCGGCTGGAGCCAGGGGTCAGACTAGATGGCCCGGGAGGCCCCTTCTGACTCGCTCTGTTTCTATGTTTCTATCATGAGGGCAATGTCTCCAGCATGGGCTTCTCTCCTGACACTTCCCAGGGTCCCTGCACCTCCTGCTTGCGCCTTCATTTCTTAAGACTTCTTTCCCAATTAAAAAAAAATACATCTGGCTGGCTAGCATGCTGGAAATGAACTCTTCTCGTGTCATCTTTATTTGAGTTCCTTAGCGTATTTTCATATTTTGGGGTCCAGAACCATTACTTTTCATGTGGAAATGAATATTTGGTGATTGGCTGTGCCCACCAGGGCAACCATTTCCTCAGTGAGCAAGCCTCTCCACTGCCACAGCAGCCATTTTGTTACAGTGCTCACGACCGTCTCAGCATTCCAAAATTAAGCATGGGAAGAGGTGTGGCCAGGGTTCCATCGCTCATCAAACACCCATATTATTGTCCTCTCTGGTATATGTGTAGAGATCTTTCAATGGAAATGCATGCCTGTACTATCATTCCAAGACATGCCAAGACAATTTTATTGCCTTTACCTGGAAAACTTTCGCTAAAGAGTCCCTCCACCCAGATAAAACAATATTTTTCCCAGAAGAAATGGGACTCTGCTATTCTACGATTGTGTGACCTTTTCAAGAAGGGACACACAGAATCATAGAAGAGCAGAGTTGGAAGGGGCCAGAGGGCCATCAGGTCCAACCCCTGCTGCTTTTTATTTCTTTCTAGGAAATAACTTTGCAGCAGATCATGGCTCATCTGGACTCCATTCGGAAAGATATGGTCATTCTTGAGAAGAGCGAATTTGCCAACCTGCGAGCGGAGAACGAGGTATTTCACCAACCGAGGCACAGAATTTGATGGGCTGTTGTTCTTTGCAGGCAGGCGGCATATGGTCGATGGAGAGAAATCAGCTGCCTGTGTACAAGTGTGTCCCACATCTTGTTCCGAGCAATTCTGCCTGCTTGGATGCACTTTTGTTCTTACTTTATTCTGTCCCAAGTTAGCTTCTGTCCTATAAGCACATGGGCTAGGACCAAAAATATCAGTATATCTTAGCTTAAGGTTGATGGGGTAGAATCCTGCAGCCTCCAAAGAGCTTCTGCAGAGCTGCAGGAGGTTCTAGATTTTTCTGTGACTCCAAAGGTGTTGCCTCTCTTGCAGCCAGCCCTGCAAAAACTGCATCAGCCACCTCTCTGAGGTTGCAGCTGGGTCCAGGAGTGAGCCGAAAAGGGCATGGTGGAGGCAGGGAACTGGGGCAAGGGCTGATCCCAACTCTTGCCAGCCCCTGAGCCTCCTTGACTCCCCTTCTGGCACTTATCCAGGAGGCCAAAAGTGGCTGTTTGGTGAAAGGTGCAGCACGAGGCACGGCACGGACCCAGACCCCCAGTGCCACGCCACGTCCCATGCACAGACCCTCAACGGCCTCCAGGTTTGCAGGCTGCCATGCAGTGAAGGCAGGGGTGCCCCTGCCCCCTTGCTGCCCGGCGTGGAGCCTTGGGAAAGGCCTTCAGCCTTTTGGAATGACCCCAGAAGAGCAGATTTGGCCCACGGCCTGGTCCAGCCTCCAGGTGCCTCCAGGAAGCCCTCTAGGAAGAGGTCTTGGCTTTCTCCTGTGGTGCAAACAGAGCTACACTGACCCAGATCTGGAGGCTGCTGCTGCGACTGTGAGCCACCGGCGGACCTTCAGAAAGTCCACCCAGTTCCCATTCAACATACTCAAGGGAACGGTCCTGGGTTTTGTCTCTGGGCAGGAAATCTCGTCAGTGTATTGGCTCAGTGGAGGCATCCGTCCTTTTCTCCATGCAGATGCCACCTCTATTCCAGCTTCGTATTTTGAAAATTGCAGAGTGTCCCTCCACTATCAGTTGCGCCTGCAAAGAGAAGGATGGCAGTATAACTAGGAAGCGAATGCCTATTCATTCCTTCGGCGGAGGAAGGGAACGGAGGGGAGCCAGTGTGGTGCAGGGGTTAAGAGCGTGGGACTGGGACTCAGGCGACCTGGGTTCAAGTCCCTGCTCAGCCATGAGCCAACTGGGTGGCTTCGGGCCATTCACAGGCTCTCGGGCCAGCCTACCTCACAGGGTTGTTGTGGGGATAAGATTGCAAGCAGGAGGAGGAGAATGATGTGAGCGGCTTTGAGTGCATAAGAAAAAGGGTTATAAATCAAATAAATAAATAAAAATAATGTGAGGTGCTTTGAGTTCCCAGCAAATGGAAAGATGGTCAGAAATAATGTAATAATACCTATAATGGTTTTGTTCATTTAATTACATTTTTATCCTGCTCTTCTTGCAAGGAATAATTGAGGCATATTTTCACCCATCCTGCAGCCAGTTTCTCCTCACAGAAACCCCATGAAGTAGGTTTTATTTAATTTATTTAAAATATTCCTACATGGGAATCGTCTCAGGGTGGCTTACAATAATAAGAGCAATAAATAAACATATAACAAACAAAAACAAAATGCAACTATAAATATATTAAAACCAAGTTAAAATTCCTTAATCCTTAAAATAATGGGTAAAAAAAGGATTTTTACCTGGCACTGAAAAGAATATAAAGTTGGCACTGGGCGGACCTCTCTGGGGAGCGCATTCCACAGGTTAGGTTAGAATAACTCCCCCAAGGTAGCACAGTGCTCTTCGTGGGGAAACATCTTGTTTTCGCTCGTGGAATGTGGCTTCCGTTCCCCATTCTTCCTCTCTGTTGATGTAATTTGGGCCAGGAGCCCGTGTCTGCTATGAGCCAGAAAGCTCCCTTTCGGAGCTCACCTCTGCCATGAACTTAACACATGCCTCGTGTCATGACCACTGAACGTCTTCTGATGTGGGGTGTTTCTGTTCTCTTCCTCTCTGGGTACATAGAAAATGAAAATCGAACTGGAGCAAGTCAAGCAGCAGCTGATGGTGAGTAGGCACAGATAAACCGACCCATGCATTTCCCAGGCGCTGCTTCAAAATGGTTGCAGCCGAGCGATCCAAGATGTGAAGCAGAGGCCTTCCCTGCGAGCCGTCCTGCCATTCCGGACTTAATGGGGAGTAAAAGGAGTCCAAGAAAGCAAAGAAGAGACGGGGCTTAGAGGGAAGTCTTCCTGCGGGGTGGGGGGAATCTTGGAAAAATGTCTGGATGGTAGGGAAAGCAGCTGAGCTTTGAGGGAGCTTTCTGGTGCTCTGGAAGCCAGGGCTGGGGAAGGAGACGCTCATGGGTGGACTTAATCCACTCTGGTGTCCAGGGTCATGGGAGCAGCAGAGACCAGTGGGAGATGCTGCAGCCTTGATGGAAAAGCAGGAATGAGTAAAGTTCTTTGAATTTAAATGCCCACTTAAATAAAGTTGTCTTAAAATAAGGGCTGGCAGTGAGGGGGGGCAGGCACCCGTCTCTTGTGGGGCTGATGGAGATCGTGGTTGCTGCAGTGGGGAAGTCCCTCCATCTTTGTGGGGCAGAATGCTGAAGAAGGGCCTCTGGGCCGGAGCAAAGGCCTTGAGCAGGTTTACATGGAAGGGTTCTCATTTCTGGCAGATTCCATTCCCAAGCCGCTGTATATTTATTTATGCAAATTCCTTCTCTCTCAGCCTATCAGTAAAGTGGGTATGCAGTGAGTCAAGGGCCATGTTCAGTGAATCAATAGCCCTTTTATCTTGGGGAATGTTTTGCTTAGAAGGGTGTGGGGGTGGGCGGGGGAGTAAGACAGAGCCTAACCCAAGCCGGCTGGAAAAATCGTCATTGCCACAAATACAAAGCAAAAGAAGCTCTCTCCTACGGGGCACTGTATTTTTTATGGAAGTCACTTCCTAGATCCTCCAGGGACTGGATCAGTGAATCTTACACAATAGAACAGGGGGACAAGAGCTTTGGTCCGCTGAACCCCCAGCCATGCTGAGCGGCCTTCAAGATGGCTGCCGACACCACTGTTCTTGCCGTACTGGGTCTTCTAAAAAAGCAGGTATCCCTTTCCCTGGATGATCTCAAAACTGTTTAGTGGTTTAATTTTTTAAGTGAGTGTGTGTGTGTTGGAGCTGGTATTTGCGTTTGCTTTTCAAGAATGAAACTAGCCAGATCCGAGCGGAAAACAAGCTGGACATCAACTTGGAGAGAAGCCGCGTGACAGACATGGTAAGCCATGAATGGACACCTTCTTTTGCTTGCTGCTCATTCGGAGTTTTCCAACTTCTGCCTTTTCTTACTCCTTTTTAAACTCCTCAGTTCACAGACCAGGAGAAGAAACTCATGGAAGCCACGACAGAGTTTCATCAAAAAGTAAGTGCTGGAGCTGCGGCATTTCGGAATGGTATCCACTCTTCCATGGAAGGCCCTGAGCGGCTTCTCTAGGATTTGCAGGTATCTCCCACCTGGAAAAGGAGGTGACTCACCTTCAGCATTATGTGCTCTCAGACTGTTCGCAGAGGTACCTAAAAGCCAAACTGCTTTGAGTTCAGAATCATTATTTGCATCAGGCACAGACTTTGGCCACAAAATAAATTATATCAAAGACATTGTATTTAATTAAAATGTATGCAGCTATTATACTTATATCCCAGCTTTGTTTCCCCTCTAAGTCACTCAAGGCAGCTTAAATAATACTCTCCTTTCTCAGTCTTATTCTCACAACAATCCTGGGAGTTGGGCTGAGAGTCTGTAACTGGGCCAAAGTCTCCCAAGGATAACAAAAATTGCCCTCAAGCATCCTAAAATGTGTGTTCAGTACAAATGCCAAAATCAATACATCGTCCTTGACACATAAATATAATGCAGAGCGGTTCTGTTCTGTCTGGAGCGATATAAAATTAGGGCTCTGGTAAAATAGTGGATCTTATTTTAAGTGCACTGGCTAGAAGAGCTCTACCTGTTGTGCCATTTCCCTGTTTATTTTGATCTGCAAGAAGAAAGGACAGTCAAACAGAAATCAATCATCCTGGAGTAGGTAACAGCCACGGAGTAATCACCACTTTCCTTAGACCTCTGCTGAAAGTACGAAACGATAAAGCAAGAGGTGCTTTCTGCTTCTGCCTTCAAGCTGCCCGTTACTTTGGAGCTCCATCTTTTGGCGCTCCCAATGTCGTTCTCCTTTGCAAAAGAGGAATGCCCTGGGGGAGGGAGCAGTTGGGATCAGGGCTGCCTCCCCAAGCAGTGGGAAGAATGAGGAAGCTCTCCTGACCCACTCAGACACTGGGAACTGTACGGAGCCCTGGAATGGTTTCTGCTCATAGAATCCCAGCCTTGGAAGGGGCCTATAAAAGGCCATCGGGTCCCACCCCCTGCTCAGTGCAGGACTCCACTTACAGCATCCCTGACAGGTGGAAGCCCAGCTGCATCTTGAATGGGCAGCCCTCTGAGTGGGGTGGTGTAACATGGTGTCCTGCGACAGCAGGCGGGTTGAACCCGATGGCCTTCATGGCCCCTCCCAACTCTACCTTTTTATTTAATTGCTATTTTAAAAAGAATTATTTTATCGTTCGCAGTCGATAAAATAATTTATATAATTTTATATGTAATATAAAAATTGTTTATATTATATATAAAATTTATATAATTTTATGGAATTTGTTATTGTTTTATAGTTTTAATAGTACGTTTGTGAGCCGTCCCGAGATGCCGAGGCAGGTGGTGATGGCATATAAAAGTTTTACATGAGTAAGATAATAAATAAATACCATTCTAGGATTCTAGGAGTGCCTCTAGTGGGGAAGAGGCCCCCACCTCCCTGGGTTATTGGCTCCTTGGCCGCACTGCCTGAGCAGGCAGGACGGTCTTCCCGATCTTCACATGGAGTCTGCCTCCCCGGAACTCGAGCCCATCATTCCGTGCTCTGCACTCTTGCATGATGGAGAAGAGATTTTGCCCTCCTCTCTGTGAGAGCCTTCATTCTCCATGTTTCAAAAAGAGGTACAAGATGCTTCTTTCTGCTGGGGTCAAGCCAGGCTTCTGAAATCGGCCTTATAAAGTGCACTAAACTTACTCACCAGCAAAAATGTGGCTTGTTGCACTTGGCAGAGGACCAATCAAGAGCTCAGTCCCACATCCCCCCCCCATGGCAGCCCACTGCATGGCTGTGACAGGTGAGGAGGGGGCTTCCCACATAGGACACCCCCTAAAATAAATGGCATGCTAAAATATGCCCTGGGATTATAAAAGGAGAACCACAACATTGGCACCAAGTGGGCCTCCTTGGAGAGAGAATTCTGCAAACCGGTTCATCGCCCACCTGGCCTTGGTTGGAGAATGACGTTTGGGTTGTATCCTTCCAGGACTCTGGCACTAACAGTGCGGTTACAGAAGTCAGCAATAAAATCGATACTGAAATCGCTGCTCTGAAAACACTTATGGAATCGAATAAGCTGGACACCATCCGTTATTTAGCAGGTAGGTGGCTGGAGCTTAACACATAAATACATTTCTGTCCCACACCTTGATCCCCCAAGGAGGAATTCATGGTTCTCCTTACAAGGTCCTTCTAGTTTATGCTCACAAGGACCCTGTGAGGTGAGGATGGGGGTCAGTGACTGGCCCCAGATTCCCCAGCAAACTTCATGGCTTAGTAGGGACTAGAACCCAGATCTCCCAAGTTCCAGGTTAAGACGACAAGCGTGCCACCATTCCGGCTTTTCCGGCTCTTCCTGTTCAGATGCACATTCTGGAAGGCTAAACCGCTGGAACAGGACCTGCCCTGAAATGTGGCGTGGCCAAGGGTGGCCATTAGGATTCCAGCCGTTCCCTGGTATTCCGTTCCCCTTGCCTGCCCCCCAAGGTTTGCACAGATGCACCCCCAGATTCAACCTTTCAAGACTTCCATGGTTATTGCACAGCTTCAGTCTCATTGTTCTTGGAGAGGGGAGGCATTAGTTTTTCCCCTGAATATTTTTGGGGATGGGTACCTCTGCAAAACTTGGGGTCCCCAGGAGCCTGTTCATGCTTTCCTCTTGTTGGGTGATGCCTTTTTGGCTATGTAACAAAGGCACTCGCTACCTGGATGACAAAACTAGGGGAAAGGTAGACTTGTCTCTGGTTTTTCTCCATCAGCTCCTCCGCCAGCAGGCTAGTAGCGTTTCTCCCTCCGCCCGTGTTCCACCCTTCAGAGCAAGCCCCACCTTCGCATACAGAAGGGAGGCCAAGTGCAGATACAGCAACCTCCTCCCGGCAGCTACTCTCTGCTCGTTGTCTGCACCAACCACACGTAGATCGCTTGCTCGTGATATCCGGAGCTCCCTGCTTCTGACCACGACGTGATTCAGGGCACCTTTCCACATGCGTGTTGCTCTGATGCGCGTGTTGGTGGCACACAGTCCCTGACTCTCGGCCCTTCCGCCTGGCTGGCTGACGAGGCGCAGAGGCGACTGCCGGGTGTGCCAGTTGGCATCTGTATCCATCTAGCTCGCTGTCTCTCCCTCTGACTGGAGGCACCTCTCCAGGGCCTTGGATACAGGCTTTTGTCCAAACACCTGTGCTCCTGAAAGCTCCCCACAGAGATTCGCCTGGCGCCTGCCTGCTTTCCTTCCTTCCTTCCTTCCTTCTCAGCGCTAGGCGAAGACCTTCCTTTAAAAAAAAAACATTTTAATAGCTAATTGGCATAGACCTTTGTTTTGTATGCTTTGCTGTATTGTATTGTAGTTTTTAATGTCTAATGTGTGATGGTTTTTATTATGTTTTTATTGTGGTTTTTATCTCGTGTTGTGAGCCGCCCAGAGGTGCTGTGGCTCAATTGGGTGGCATACAAATGCAGTCAATCAGTCAGGTGAATGAATGAATTGGGTGGCATACAAATAAATAAAGTGAGTGAGTGAGCGAGCGAGTGCATTGGGTGGCATAGAAATTAATTAAATAAATTTAATTAATTAATTGGGTGGCATACAAATGCAATCAATCAATCAGGTGAGTGAGTGAATTGGGTGGCATACAAATAAATAAAGTGAGTGAGCGAGTGAGTGAGTGAGTGAGTGAATTGGGTGGCATAGAAATTAATTAAATAAATTTAATTAATTAATTGGCATACAAATGCAATCAATCAATCAGGTGAATGAATGAATTGGGTGGCATAGAAATGAAATTAATTAATTGGGTGGCACACAAATGAAACCAATTAATTGGGTGGGTGGGTGGGTGGGTTGATTGGGTGGCATGCAAATGTTAAGAGTCAATCAGTCCTCTCCCTGCAGAGGCCAGGACTTGAATTGGAGGCCTTTTGCATGCTAAGCAGGTGCTCGGCCCACCATGGCATGTCAGCCCCCCCCCCCCCCCCGCAAATGTGGATAAGCAGAGCTTTTGAGTCCGGTGCCTTGAATGTTGTGATGGGGCAAAAGCGTTGTGTCGGCCTCTGATGAGGTTGGGATGTGAACCCAGCTCTTGCTTTTACATGCAGCCTCGGTGTTCACGTGCCTTGCCATCGCCCTGGGGTTCTATCGATTCTGGAAATAAGAGCCAGCCTTTGGGAACGAGGAGGACACGAGGAGCCCTTCTGGATTCGACCTGCCGCATGTCTCAGGGAACGCCCTCCGGCAGCTGCCTCTGAGTCTCCGTGCTGGCATTGATTGATCTCCACCACAGAGCCGCTGGAGGAGGTGGCCTGCGGCTCCCGTGCTCTGAGGCTCGGGCAGAGCTCCCGTGCGCCAGAGGCTGAACGTTCCACAGATTGGACAAAGCAGCAAGGACACACTTCCACTCGAGAGCCAACATCCTGGGGCCGTTCTCAGAACTGGACAAATGCATCGGGGTTTGTCCGAATCTTTTTCCTCCAAAGCATCTCCACTCCTGCACTGCTCAGCTGGGGGCATCCGCCACAGCTACCCTGCGGTGCCTCTGCCCGCCAAGTGGCTTGTGGTTTGCCAGCAGTGTCGATGGCTGGAGGAGAAAGCGCTCTGATAACCCACAGACGAGCGAGCCTTTGGCCCTCCAAATACGGCTGGGGTCCATCTGCCATCTGCTCCTGCCAGCATGATGGGAACTGTAGTCCTGCCTGATCTGGATGGCCACAGACTCCCCACCCCTGCAAAAAACAAAAACAAAAAAAAATCCGATTTGTGTGCGCGGTAATTTGCCAAAGAGGCCCACACTATAATGAATAGTGGATTGTTCCATCTCTTTCCCATCAGATGGCAAAAACCGAATATGCCACTCAAGGCGTCATCCTAACTGAATGTATTGCAAATGTTTTCATGCGGAGTCTTGACATACCTTTTTTACTGAACCACCCGCACTGACCGACAGGAGTTCTGCAGCATCTCAGGCCGGGTCTTTCCCAGCCCTGCTTCCTGCCGTTGGAAGATTCTGGGATCTGATTCCAAGCTGCTGCTGCAGGCAGAGGACTCGCTCTTCTCCAGAGCTATGCGCTTCTCTGTTTTTTTATGTAAAACCGCTGCCTTATGTTTTTATGTCTGAGCTTCAGAAGCTGGTGCAGCTATGGAGGCTTTTCTTCAGATTCGTATTTCACCTGTTTACATCTTGCTTTCCATTTATCAGATCACTGGATGTTGCATTGAATGCACTAAAAAAGCATTAAAATGACAGGATTGAAACAACAAAGAAAATCTGTCAAGCTAGGTATTAAAATCGGCACGTGCCTTATTTAGATACGTTCTCAGCAGCTGCCTAGACCTTACCATGCATGGTGCCTGGCACATGGCAGAGGAGAGAAGATGCCAGAGGCAGGCAGGCGGGGCCATGACAGAGAAGGCCTTGCAGGTGTTGGCTTTCAGACATGCTGTTGCCGGCACAGATGCAACTGGAAGGCTGTCATCTGCGGCTCCCAGAGATGTGCAGTCTGATACGGAAGCGCTCCCTTGAGGAGTTCGTGCCTGTTGCCACATTACCAGCAGCCACAGGATAGCCGTGATTTCGGAACACCAATGCCGCACTCTCTGTTCTCTGGTGTTCCAGTGAATTAGACGCACATTCATGTGCCTGCAAGTTCTTTGTGGGGTTGCAGTCTTGGTCTCTTATTGCAGAGTAATTGGCTGGATCGGGCCTGTATTTCCTTAATCTACAAATACGCTTCATTTTCAAGCCACTCTGGGCTGTGATTTCCCAGAGCATTCAGCTTGCAAAGTATTTAAAAGACCCAGGACACTCTGAGGCACTTTCCTTGGGGTCCTTTGCAGCGTCTCCCGTTTGACTGCCTAACAAGCCGCCTTTTCCTCTTGCTCCTCTTGTGAAATGTTCTGGGACTGTCGGGCCGCAAATCCTGTATGTTCTCAGGGATCCTTGGAAGCTGCCAGGTTGAACTCAGTGGCTGAGTTCACACATAGTGCTAAACCATGCCATGGGGCTTCTTAGCTGGATGAGGCCATCAGGGGATCGTGTGGTTTCCACCCCGCTGCCTCCGTTTTCCCACTGGCAGCAGGGATCCCATCAGCCTTCATGGCCAAATTCAATCCCAGCATGCTGCTGCTCCTTACGCCACCTGCATCTTTCTGATTATGAATTTTGTGTGTTTATTTTGCAGAGATGGGGCAGGGAGTGGGTTGGTTGGGAGGGTACGGTGGAAGGGAGTTCAAATCTGGGACTGCAAACGATAAACCCACATCTTTTTCTCTGGCAACGATGATGCATGTTGGCTTGCCTCTTCGATGGCTTTTTTAGACCTGATGGAATCATAGAATTGTGCAGCTGGGAGAGGCCTAGGAGCCGTCAGGTCCACCCCCTGCTCCATGCAGGACTCAGGTCTCCCATCCAGATTCTAACCAGCCCTGAACCCACTTAGCTTCCAAGGTCAGGAGTCCCACTGTACTTATATCCACATAGTAGACCAGCATTTGAATGTGGGTACATTGTGAAGCAGAGCCCAGCGCCCCTTGCCATGCACGGCTTTTTCTGCACAAGCGACAACTCTTGAACGAACAAGGCCAGGCTCTTCTCCTCCTCTGATGCGTCCGTTCTGAAGGGGAGGCACACGATCGGAAGATGTGGCAAAAACACCACCATGGCGAAAAATGCACTGAATGCATTTTTACGTTTCGCTTCTTGGCTGCTACGCCATGCGATGGGCTTTCACTGACATAAACCAGGAGTGTTGAATTGCCTCTCCCAAGGGATTAATTCCTTTCCAGATCCAGGGGTTGGCCCCATTCCAGGGGTGAGCACGGCCAACACTTCTGCCAGGACAGGCCCGCAGGCTTGAGCTTAAAGCTTTCCCTCCAGCATAGTCCAGCCTGCTTTAGGACACAGCAAATTGGCGGAAAGCGTTTGGGGCATGGAAAGGAACCGTGGCCTTCTGAAATGTGCCTCTCTCCTGACATTTCCATCCTGCCTTTCCCAGTTGTTGGCACATGCAGTTGGAGATGCCGCTTCTCCCAATTCTGGATGGACTGGGCTGAATCACTGAAGGAACAGTTCCCAACAGAGCACACTGGGGCAGATGGCAGATCGGGGAGCTCTCTGGCGCGATCTGCAGTGAAGTCATGAAAACGCCTCCCTTGTAACCCTTTCGCAATACCAACAAGCTGGCTTTTTTCCCTTATGCCAGACTGCTGCGTTTGGGGTGAGAGGGAGAGCAAACCTAGAGGGCATCTTTGGTGAGCTCCATTCTGATACTAAAAACAAATCCTTGGTCAGGTGTGTGTGTTCAGAAACTCCCTGATATTTGGCATGGCTTGGTGCTTACCTGGTCTACCATTCGATTTGGCTGCACTTGCAGGGACCTTGAGCTTCTGGAAAATATGAAGTTGCTCTTGGAAGTTTTGTCATCTTCCGGGCAGGGCTTGCTTGGGCTGGAGAGATACAGCTTGTCGGTCCTTCAAACCAGTTTGGGCTCCCATCAGAGAGCTTCCCCAGCACCTGCCACTTACCATTCTTACCAAGATGCCCCGTGTTGAATCTGAGACTCCCAGCTTGCCTTTTCTGGCCCAAGGGTCAAGCATGTGGGTAAAGACCAAGTCCAGGGCCTTCTTGAAAATGGCCTCCTTTAGTGTACAGCTCCTTCCCAGAGAGGCATGTGAACCCAGCTTTAAAAGCATTCAAGCCCTTTCTGTTTAGGAGGGCCTGTTTTCTACTTTGAGAGACATCAGATGTATGTGATATTCAATGGTCTATTGTTCCTTTTAACCATCGCTGTCACAATTCTAATGCCTAGCAATCTCGAATATGATTTTACAGTTATTGATTTTAATCTGTTTAGCTGGGTTGGTTTTTTAATATTTTATATTTCAGTTCAGTACTGAATTGTTTTTATGTTTGTAAAGCTGCTTCGGGTACCGGAGAAGCAAAGTAAAGATTAGAGAAATAAACTTTATAATGTTACAGACTTTAATGAAGAGCTATTAGGTAATACAATTCAATGGTGTCCTCCACTTTAAGAAGAAACTGACCTTATCCCGCCCCCCGCCCCCCAGGATCCAAACACTCATTCTTATAGGAAAAATGGAAATGGAATATATTTCCAAGAAAGGATGTGCATTAGCTTTAGGCAGTTGCGGTTCTGCATACGGCACTGTTAGCTGGAGCACCTTCATGCAGGAATCTCCCAGGGACGAATACCCCTTTCAGCTGCTTTCCCTGGAAATCCAACAACCAGGACTGCAAGATGCTTTGAAAACCATCATCCTCCTTTCAGTGCCTCTTTAGTATCGTCTCACAAACACTCCGCCAGGACTGAGAAGGGGCCTTTTCTTCCATTTCTTTTTCTCTTTGCCCAAGTCGGAGCTCAGTTTACTAGAATCAGAAGCCACTCGACCGAGGTCAGTATCGGCGGTCTCCTGCAGAAGCGACATTGGAATTGTGAGCCCACTGCCATGCCTCAAAATGGCAGTAGGGTTAAATATTGGGTGCTAAACCAGGAATGCAAAGACAGCAAAATGCTCGGGGTGGGCATCCTTTCCCTATCCTTCTTGTTGTCTCCAGGAAAGCCATCCCTGAATTTCGCAGCTTCAGGCTGAGCGTGGAAGGTTAATCCAGAAGGGGCTGGCATTCACCCACAACAAGAGCTCCTTGCATGCAGAAAGCTAGCAAGTCCAAGGAAAGCGGCCTCACAGGACAGACCTACCCAAAGTCCTGTGGCATGGGATTCTTCAGGACAGCCCTGCCCTTTCTGGTGCCCTCCAGATGCATTGGACCTCACAGCCAGGGATGCTGGGAGTTGTAGTCCAGCACATTTGGAAGGCACTGCCTTAGGAATTACTAGATTATCATCTAGTGGAGGGAACTTGTTCTACTCCTGCTGTGAAGAGGAATCTCGTAAAGGGAGGATGCCGTAAGTATGTGTCTCTGTGTGCATCCAGTCAGGCTTTCTGGGGCAAAATCCTCTTGGGATGAGCAAATTCCCTCAGTTCTGTTCCATGACTTTCCCGTCACGTCATTTCTCAGAATTTTCACTGCAGGACGGATTCTGTGCATGCGTCATGCCTGGTTTTCCAGGGGAGATCAGCTTCTCCCGTGGACCAAATGCAGTTGTGGGGCAGTGGAGAGGAGACTCCCCGTTCGGGGATATTCACTCCCTGGGGATCCTGGAGGAAAGAGAGGGACCCCTTTCCCCCATCCACCAGCCTCTTCAGTGCTTGATTTCTCTGGAACAGAGGGGAGGTCAGCCAATTTGTTCCCCCTTCTTCAAACCTCCTCATCTACCTGAAGTAAAACAGTTTGGAGTTCCGCTCCAGCTAATTTCCAGGAAATGGATGTGGATTCTATAACATTTTGGGCCTGTCTCAAGCTGGAGGGAGCCCAGGGCAAAAGCGCACTCAGGCCAACCTCACTGGTGGATTGGGCCCCGAGAAGCTCCCCTGACACCAACCACAGTGCTACTCAAAGCTGCAGCTGCCCTTCCAATTTCCCATCAAGCAATTTTCCCATCAGCCACTGGGAGCAGCAGGGCAGAGGGGCCCCAAGAGCCCCTGGCAAGCGGGAGCCGGGCTGGGGCCCCAGCAGCTGCTGCTGCTGCTGGGTGCCAAGGGCTGTCTCTGGCCACATCTCGTGCTTGCCTGGCGATGGGCGGATGGCGCTGGGTACTCACCATGGGGAGGGCGGCTGTGGGGAGCTGGGCACCCTCCTGCTGCTCCTTGAGTCTCTGGATCTCCTCCCGGTACTCGTCCACCTCGGCCTCCAGCTTCTCCCGCCGCAGCCGCTCATACTCAAGCTGTACCTGCAGCTCACCGACAGTCCTGTCCAAAGTAAAGCCCAAGCTTGCTTCGGCTTTGCTTTGAATCATAGGAGAGCTGGAAGGGGCCATGAAGGCCATCAGGTCCAACCCCCCTGCTGTTGCAGGACACCACGTTACACCATCCCACTCAGATGGCTGTCCAGGTTCTCCTTGAATGCCCCCAGTGTGGGAGAGCCCCCCACCTCTCCAGGCAGCTGGTTCCACTACCATATTGCTCTGACAGTGAGGAAGCTTTTCCTGATGCCCAGCCTGAATCTGGGTTGTCACAACTTGAATTGATTATTTCATGTCCTACACTCTAGCATCAGCAAGAAGAGACCTTGACCTTCCTCTCTGTGACAGTCTTTGAGGGACTTATAGAGGGATATCATGTCCCCCCTCAGACTTCTCTTCTCAAGGCTGAACATGCCCAGTTCTCTCAGTCTCTCCTCACAGTTCAGTGTTTCCAAACCCTGGATCATTTTTGTTGCCCTCAGCTGGACCCTCTCTAATTCAACTGCATCTTTCTTAAATCTTGGTGCCCAGAACTGGACACAGTATCCCAGATGAGGTCTTAGTGAGGAGTATAGAGGAACTACTACTACTCAAGATTTGGACGTAATACTTCTGTTAATGCATCCCAAAATGCCATTTGTCCTTTTGGTGGCTGTATCGCATTGTTGGCTCATGTTTAGCCTATTGTCCACAATAACTCCAAGGTCTTTTTCTTTTTCAGTTCTGTTGAGCCATGTCCTCCCCATCTTGTCACGATGCATTTGCTTTCTTTTTCCTAGGTGAAGGACTTGGCACTTGTCCCTATTGAATCTCATTCTGCTGCTTTCAGCCCCGTGTTCAAGCTGCTCTGCTCTGCTCTGCTCTGCTCCGCTCTGTTTTGTTTTCTTTGAGGTGGATCCTCTTTCCACCAAAACGTGGCGCTCGAGGCAATCAAGAAGAGACTGCCATCACTGCTTCCCCTCTCATCAGGCCTGCCCTTGCCATCACGGAGCAAAGATACCGGACGCCTCCTGCAAGCCAGCTGCAAAGACCTGTGCCCCCTTCCCAGGTTTGCTCTCTGTCCACGAGCACTGCCTCCCCAGCCCTGGTGCCCTGCGGGTGCTCTGGACTACAATGCCCAGCACTCTGGCCATGCAGTCTGGAGCAGCTCTGCAAATCACAGGCCCAGCCAAAGGGGATGGGACATCTTTACAGATATGGGATCGGTTCAGAGTCGAACTGGGTGCCATGCGCTTCGTCGCGAGCTTAGCAATTGCTTGAATGCTCTGCTGGGCTAAGAGGTGATCTAGATCGGGGCTGCAAAGGAAGGGAAGGCGTTCAGCCGGGGCTCTGCCAGCATTTGCCGTTCTTCGGCAGCTGCCGCACTCTTGCAAGGTCTCGCTGCCAATGCGTGGTCTTGGCCTCCCAGTTTGCGTTTCTCCAGCCTGGCACTCTGAACAACACCCAGCTGCTGCATCGGCCCGCCATGTTTGCTTCCTACGATGCTCCTGACCCTAACACTGCTCCATGGAATTGTGGGAAATTTTACAGGTTGGCAAGACCCAGAGGCCTTTCCCTGTTTGGCAAGTTCACATAACGAGAGCCAGTGTGGCGTAGTGGTTAAGAGCACGGAACTGGGACTCAGAGGATCCGGGTTCTAGTCCCCACTCGGTCATGGAGCCAACTGGGTGACTTTGGGCCAGTCACAGCCTCTCAGCCCAACCTACCTCACAGGGTTGTTGTTGTGGGGATAATATGGAGGAGGAGAGAAGATGTAAGCTGCCTTGAGCCCTTTGTAGGAAAAAGGCAGGATATAAATCGCAATATAAATAAAATAAATAAATAAAATAACAGTGATGCCCCTTGCTTCTTTCCCCCAACCATGGTCCATTGGGTCGTCTCCAAGACTGTCTCCATTTTTTCCCATTCTGACAGGTTGGATCCCTTTCTCAAGTAAACTAAACTGTGCTGATAATTTTGGCCCTAATCCCCTTGTTTTCTTCAGCGCCACCCGAATGCAGTCCCTGAGAACATGTGCCAAGCTGAATTTGGATCGCAGCCTGAACGTGGTCCAACATCCCACAGGCACTGGGGGACCCCAGTCCCCAGATTGGGTTGACCATGAAGGGAAAGGGTTAAGATCCCTTTGCTCTCCACTATGAATTCAATCCAAATTTCCTCTCCATCCAGCTGTTTGCTGAAGAACAATTCACACAATTGCTAAGGGCATGAATCACATCATTTCTAGTTTGGCCCTCACAGATGCCTATTGCAAGAGGGGAGAAAGGTGGGATATTAATGTCATACGATGATGATGATGATGATGATGATGATGATGATGATACAATAGTATCCAGTTGAACTGAAAAAATATAGCTGAACTAGCATTCTGTGTAATGATTTCCTCTTATTATTATACTTGGGAACAAGCTAGACTTGATGTTGGAGAATCTGCAGGTGGATTCTTCACAATCTTTTCCAAAGGCTAGAATCTTTCTGCCCGATATGCTTGCTTTTCTTTTCATTTTTTTCGGGGGTGGGGGGGCTACCTGTTTGTGGTGGGAGCCAGTGGGGAGGGATGTCATTCAAAAATGGTTAGGAAAAAAGTCCATGGTTTGAGGTGATGCAGCCCACTCTGTCACCCAAGGATCTGACTTATCTCTCTTTAAAAAGAGCAATCAAGGAAAGAGGACAGGCGCAGGCAAGAAACAGAGTTTCTTGGATAGTCTGGCCTGAATTGTGGGTAAAGTTGGTCATCGCGCTGAAAAAACAGCAGAGGGCAGCAGAGCAAACCAGCTTTTCAAGCGGGAATTGTTAACTTGTGCCTGCCTAGCACCGGGTTGCTTTGCTTGCCACGGATCGCCTGTGAAAGCGGCTGGGGTTGCCATGGATCTGCCAAGAGCGGCCTTCTCCGGGTTGGCCCACTGCTTCCTCTGCAGCTCAGCCTTCCGCTTGGGCTCCCAGCTGACTGCTGCCCCTCCAGAATTAAGGGGGAGGGCAAAACTAGGACGGCAGGTGAGGCGGATGGATGGGTGTCAGGAGAGAACGCAGCCCCCCAAACTTTCACACCGTCATGAGAGGAGAGGTGAGGAGGAACTGCTCCACGCAGCCTCCCCTTCCAAGACGGCAACAGGCTGGGTTGTCTGGGAAGGCAGTGGAGCTTGAGCTTTTTCCAGCAGATGCTGTCAGCAAGGGGTCAGAGCAAACGGATGCCGAGGCGCTTTCCAACCTTGTCCATCTATTTCTGCCCCTCTCAAAACTGCACAATGGAAATAGACGGGCCTTCCCCAACCTGGCACCTGCCAGCCGTGCTGGACTACAACCCCCATCATCCCTGGCCAAAGTGCTTTGCGTGTCTGCTTTGGCCCATTTAAGATCTGGCCGTGCAGGAAGAGGGTGGAGATGTGAGTCATCCGCTGACATTTGGGAAAGCGGCACTCAGCTCATCGCGACAACGGTCTTTCTGCGCTGCAACAGAGCTCACCACAACAGTGTCACAAGCTGGTCCCTTCCCTCTTTCCTTCTGGTGTCAAACACAAAAGAATCCTTTTATTGAAACTGAACAGATTACAGAACCGTAGGAACTCCAGATGGCCTTCTACCAAAGTTGAGGGAGAAGCCTCTGCCCATGTGAAGAGTTCAATCCAAACTGGAAATTTCGCCTCCCTTCCTCGCTTTCAGGAAAGCTTCCGGCTACACCCTCAGGGTGGCTTGAGGGAGACAGCAGGAATCAAACCCTAGCTCGTTTGCGGTTAGCTGGGCAGCTCGTTTCTCCCACGGCCTCCTCACTGGGTCGAGGACGGTCACACATCTGCGCCCCCTGCCATCCTGAAAATCCCTTCCAACCCTTCCAGACCAGGCTGATTCTTACACTCTGGGTGGGAACCCTCACTCGGTCACCTCAAAACTTCAAAGTCGTCTTCTCCCCAGTGCTCCTCCTCCTCCTCCAAATCAGACAGAATCGGATGACTCACCCAGACAGTCTGTAACAAGCGGGAGAGAGGCCCACTCTCCACAGATATGTTGGGAAACCCACTTTTCCTTAGGGAAAACCCAGGAAGCCTGAGGAAACAGGCTCACTACTCAAGGCCCCAGTGCACTGAGACTGCTCCCCGACGCCACTGCTTGCATGGCATTTAGGGCCAATGGGAAAGCTCTCACCTGACCAGCTGCCGCTCTTCAATTTTGGCTCTCCTTTCTTCCGGGGTTATTCCCCCAAGCTGCTTGAAATTGCTGGTGGCAATTTCCAGGAGCTTCTGCAGCTCTTCCATCTTCCGGTAGGCCCTTTCTGCAAAGGAGAAACCAGCTCTCTGCACTTTCTGATCACGCGCACCGTGCGCTGGTGGCCCCAGAGTCAGCGGGGGCTGCTTCCTCTCCAGGCTTCAGCTGAAACATCACGAGAGCTGCCCGAGGGGCTGACCCTGCCAAAGCCACAAAGCAGGCACGCTGCAGTGACCTCCCACCACACACGTGCGCCTACAAGCCAGGAAAACAGGCTTTCTTGGGGAACACATAACGGGCCCAACACATAACACATAGGGGCTAAGCCAGTCTCCAGACAATAGGTCTGTCCGTGGCGATCGGCAAGTTGGGGATGAGTGAACCAGTCAAAGTCGATTTCTCTCTGTTTCTCATTTTTCATATGAGTTTGGTTCCTCTTAAACTCTGAGAGCTTTTTCTCCCTCTTTAGCTTGCGTGAAAATTCTAAACTTTTTAAATGTAAAGTTCTCCTAATACATACATTTTGGGGTGCATTTTGCCTAATACAGAGATTTTTACCAGCACTTTTTCTAATCCATTTGAATATTCTTGGCCCTAATGGACATTTTTATACTAATTATTATTACTATTCATGATACTTATTAATAATCAGTATACTAATTATTATTATCATCCTTATCAGAGAACTTCTTTGCAAAATTTGGAGAAGTCCACTGTCGAAGGAGAACTAGGAGACATCTAGTCCACCCTGTAAGGAAACAGGATGCTGGACTAGTTGAGCTTTTGCTTTGATCCAGAAGGGCTCCAGGACTTCAGCTTGCATGCAACTATCCACCTGACTTCTTTGTCTTCTGCCAGGACCCTCTACCTGCTTTTACCGCACCTGCAAGCAGCATATCTTACTTACAGACATGGGCTAAGCCATCCTTTCCCCTTTTCCCAGTGCCCTCCCCTTCCACCTCTTTGGCCGAGTCCTCGCTGAGGTGGGATCCCGTGCATGGCTGTGCCTGCATTTGCCCGGCTGAACGCTGCCCAAAAAGCACCACATCCCTGCACACAGAAAGCGCTCGTCTTGGGCTGCGGGTTAGGCGAAGACTATTCCCATGGGTGCCATCATTTTCTGAGCAGAGGGAAGGAGCATCCAGTCGCGGGGGACCTGGCTGCTTCTAGGTGGACTGTCCATGTGTGCAAGATACCCCGTGTCATGCACAGAAGTTTGTGCAGGGGTCCCAAGGACACAGCCTTCCGTCTGCAGCCTTCCTGTTTTCGCGCTGCTGCTTCCAACGTCTTTCCATGGAAGATTTACTGCAGGGGAACCGCCTGAATGGCTGCCTCCATCTGGAAGCACACCGGACCTACTGCTGAAAGTCTTACAGCCTGGATCGACTCCTCCACTAAACATGAGCCCCTTTGAAACACAACCCAGGCATGCCCGATTCCACGCTTTCCATCCACCTGGTCCTTTTCACCAGTGATGCTAGGCTAATTCCTACGAACTGGAAGGCTCCTAGAAGAGGAGTCCTAGGGTAGAGCTAGAAGGGGGGGAAAGAAGCAGCTAGTTTTGCTGGGAAGCTGAACTGCTGCAGAACTAATTGATAAGAAAGGGCTCTTAACACTTACGTCTTATTGCAACTGAATTAATACTTGTGTGCAGCTGAGTTGCAAGGGAATGGGGACTCCTTTGGTTATTTGCACTTCCACGTAATAACAGCAACTGCAATTTATAAGTTGCCATTTGTGGTTCTCCTGTGCTCCAGAGTTAAACATATCTACAAAGGACCACTGAAGTCTCCACTGTCTAACGGAACTGGAGAAACAAGGGGACTGACTGGCTGCAAAGCTGTAGGCAGGAATCGTTTCTGCTTGGACTCAGGACAAATCCTTGCGTTTATTTGTACTGGGGAAGTTGCTGCATTGTTGCTGTTGTTTTGTATAACTATAATTCTTAATTATAGCCTTTGGCTTGGAATCCTGCGTTCAGCAGGGGGTTGGCCTTCTCCAACTCTCCTGTCTCTGATTCCCTGGTTGTACACGCTGTATGTGCCAGTATAACTTGGCAAGTCTTATTCAGATGGATTCCCACAGGAACCCCCACAAGCCGCCATTCCTATTTCTTCCACACAGAGACAGAGAGCAATGGGTCTCAATCTAAACTCTGGGATCAGGGGAGAGGGAAACGGATCCATCTCTGAGCTTTGTGCTTCCACACAAGTCCTACCAATCCGCAAACCTCTGTGCAGCCTCAGGGCTGCGGCGACCACACAGAAGCTAAGCAGGTCGGGGGCTGATCAGTGTCGCGGACTTAGCCATCTAGGGCTCCACCATGGAAGAAAGCTGGGGCACACATTAAATCAATCGCTCAGTGCGAAAGCCAAGCCTGTCTCTTTAGGAAATGTGCCACACGTGACCGTACCTTTGCTTTGTTGGGCAGCTGCATGGACCAAGGAGACACAGGCCGGGGCACTTGCCTGATCCAAGCTTAGTTGCACCTGGGTCATTGAAATACGGAGGGCAAGTTGGCCGTCATTCCAGCAGGCCTATTCTTAGCATGAAAAGGTCCAGAAGTGCCACAAACCTACAGCACACTCAGCACCCTCAGGCCCAGGAATAGGACGCCTGCTCTCATACAGAAGGACTTGGGTTTGATCTCCAGGACGCAATACAGAGTTAGGAAAGCTTTCTCCTGAGACGTGGCCAGTGCACGCAGAAGACGATATTGGGGGGTTTGATGGACCAATGGTCTGAGAGCTTCATATGAACCCAAGACCCCTGCCTGGCCACCTGACCTAGAGTCCTTCCTTGTTTTAATCGCTGCACCAGACAGACACATCTGGGAGCGGGACGCCTTCAGCTTGTAGCTAAGCAGAACTGCAGCAACAGACAACTAACCTTTTAGTTGCCCGATTGCAAAACTGACCGCAGTCCTAACCAGGTAGCTGTGGGCCCCTCCAAGCTGACTTTCCACCTGCAAACTGACACAATTTCTCAGGCTAATTCTTAGCATCCATTCACCAACGTGCCACCTTCCCCGAAACAACAAGTGGGAGGCCAACAACTCACCACGACTGTCTGTTTTGTCCTCGTTCTCTAGATGCAAGTCGGCCTTGCAGTCCGTGCTTCCTTCCACACCGTGCTTTTCAAAGAACTGTGGGTCCTGTATGTCAATTTCCTCATCAGAGTCGTTTCCCATCTTGCTCCTTAAATATTCCACAGCAGCCAGTTGGGCAAACCTGCACAATTTAGACACCCATTAAGCCCCTGGAGAACAAGTCAACAACCCAGAGCTTCTCCTGCCAACTGCATCGGAGTTGATTCCAAGATCGGTATTTGCTTTGTAGGCCAGTGGTGTTTCTAGCTTAGTGTTCTCTACACTGTTCTTGGAGATGACAGGAAGGATGTGGGCATCTTCTGTCCTCATGGGGACCTATGTGAAGCCCTGAGACCCAGAAGGTGCTGAGAAGAGCAGCTGGTGTTCCCAGTACCAGCTGATTTCCTTCTCCATGCAGAGGAGGGCATGGAAGCTCTTGCTGCCTGCAACTAGAAATGCCAGGAAACCCGCAAACAACTGGGGTTAAGGAGCTGGAGACAAGGACCACCTGGGGACCTCAGAGGGCCAGAACATGATGGGGGGTGGAAGCTTCCACAGGGAAAAGAGAAAAAAAGTCCAGTTTCTGCAAGCAGGTGAACCGATTTGCTCACTGGTCTCCACTCTGTGGGATGCAGATTTGAATCTACACTGATGTTTGGTCAGAGTGAAGGGCCAGTGGGATTTAGTCCTGGTTCATTCCTCTGAAGAGCATCCCTTCTGAGCAAAGGAAAACCCAGCCAAGTATCAAAAGTTGGTCACCTCTTTGCAACGTCCTTTGGTGTCTCTCCAGCTTCATTGGCAATGTTGCAGTTTGCTTCCCTGTTGATCAGCCACTCTAGGACATGTAAATGACCTTGTCCAGCAGCTGAGAGGGGGGAAAGAAGCCATTAAATGTAAGACCCACAATTGGACAGTGTCCGTATTAGGGCCAACCGAGATCCCATCGAGCCTGATGAAGGGTTCTGGAGAATTCAAGCACTTGCACCATTGAGTAGCATTTTGGAGACTGAGGCTGCCGTACCTGGCGAACATCATGAGAAGGTAAAACGCCCTCAAGAAGACTTTCATGCTTGGGAAAGTTGAAGGCAGAAGAGGAAGACCAACTATGGGATGGATGGGGTCCACCAAGGAAGCCACAAGAGCCGAGTTAAAGTTAGGACACGTGGACTCATAGAATCACAAAGCAGTAGAGTTGAAAGGGGACAATAAGTCCTTCAGGTCCAACCCAATGCTCAATGCGAGGCTCCAAGTGAAGGCATTTTGAAAGACATTCATTCATTCATAGGGTTGCTTTACGTTGGAGACAACTTGACAGTAGATAAACAACAGTAACAGCATTATCCAGCTCTGGATTTTGGGGGAAACAGTTCCTTTTGGGCTGGCCTGGCTATCTCGGTGAGCTTTTTAAATTTAGGCTAAATGTAAAGGTGCTTGTCTTAGACGTTAGCTCATGACCTTTGGAATGCCAGTCGTATGTTCCAAAGCCCTCCACCTTCATGAACCAGAGTTATATCTACCACTGCGGAAATGGCATAAAGCTCGGCTTGGCTTGAGCTCACAATGGCTAGACATGGCGATTCTAACAACCTACAGGAGCATGAAGTGGGCAAAATTTCACGTTTGTTAAAAGCCAGGTGATGCACTCCAAATTAACAGAAAATTATGGTGTATCGATTGCAGTTCAAAGTGCACCTTGTTTCGATTGTGGCCTGCTTGTTTCTGATTTCAAAGAACACAACTGTATTCCCTCCCTTGAGTTTTTTTTTAATCTACACCCAGATGATCCAAAGTCTGTGCCCAAAAATGACAGGCCTATGCATATTGTACAAATATTATGCAAAGTGTTTCCTTATTTTGAATGATTTATTCTGCTGTTTGAACAGCTTTGCCTAAGAGCTATGAGGTATGTTAGCCCAAGAGAAAAACTGGGTTTCAGTGATCACAGTGGGGGAAATAAGCCATGGAAACAAGCCACACGGAAACCATGGATCATTTTAGGCTTCCGAGTGGCTTGGTAACCATGAAAACAAACCACCCTGGCTGGGTTCACACGGCACGTCAAGCTGCACTGTTGAGTGTAATAGCAATGGGAACCCTGAAAAAGGGGCAGATGCTATTTTAGGCTGCTTAAAGAGAAGTAACACTTCCAAATCATGTGAAATGCTAGTTTCCCTTTACTCAGCACTCATCTGGAGTCCACACCTGAACACCACAGTTTAAGAAAGATGCAAACAAGCTGGAAAGGGTTTAGAGGAGAGCGAGAAGGTTGATCCAGGGACTGGAAACAAAGCCTTAAGAGGAGAGGTTGAAAGAGCTGGACATGTTTAGCCTTCAGAAAAGAAGACTGGGGGGAGATGGAATAGCACTCCAGGAGTACTTGAAAGGAGGTGATAAAGAGGAAAGACAGGGTCTCTTCTCAATCTTCCCAGAGTGCAGGACATGAAATAATGTGTTACAGTAAGCCAGATTCCCAAATAAATAAGCCATATTTATTTCCTGAGAAGACAATGGGACTATTATCTAGGGTGGTGATGGGCGCTCCCACACGGGAGGCATTCAAGGTGCAGCTGGACAGCCCTCTGAGAGCGATGGCTTAGCTGGGAATCCCGCACTGTGCAAGGACTCGCACCCTCTGGCCCCTTCCAACTCTGTGCTTCTGTGTAAATCCACAAAGCAGACACAGGGGTAGAAGCAGCAGGAATAAACGGTCGTGGCTTATTTCCCCTCTCTGATCATGCCAACCAGGCCCAAGCCGTCGTCTGTGCTTCAAGGCGGAGATTAGTGTGATCTTCAGGCCTCCCAACTGCAATCGGACAAGCCCCCAGTTGCTTTGAACCACAGTTGGTAGCATGTGGACCACAATTCCCAGAATCCTTGGCAAGCAGCCACGGTGACCTGGGTTGATAGGAAAGCCGACCCATCTGGAGGGCACCAGGCTGGGGGTGCCTCTCTGAACATCTTGGAGTTCCGTATGCAATAAATAAACTAAATAAAACACAGTCACTTAGGAAACAGTTTAAGCCATTTGGGAGCACCGTAAGAGCCATTTGAATTGGCTGCTTCCCTGACCTCTGTGCAAGAGAGTGGAGCCTCTATCATCCCGTTCGTTAATATTGATGACTCTGTTTTCCAGTAATGTTCTTAATGTCTCCAGGTCCCCTCTGAAAGCAGCATCATGACCTGGAAACGTTAGATCTATGCAGAGAGAAAACAAGAAGGAGCCTAGTCAGCTACAATAACTCCTGGATAAAGGGCGACTTAGAGTAGGGGGCTCAGACTCGGGGGAGCTTTTTTGTTTTGCAGTGACTGTGACATTTCTGTTTGTTGGCCCCTGTGGGTCATGGGGCAGAACATCAGCCTCAGACAGCCCTGAAGCCTCAGAAACGTTCTGTGCTTTGAGTCCGGCCCTCCCAGGGGAGCCACCAGCAGCCTCCCAGCTTATGAAGCAGAAGGAACGCCTGCAAAAGCATGGCTGTGCTGTGCTTCTCAAGGTCTGCAGGAAGAGTGCCTCGTTTACTCCTGGCTACATTTATCTTTATAAGGTGCATTGTCTGAGCAAGTTTCTAGTCCTTGTGCCTTCGACAACCAGCTTACAATCCTGCGGCTGATGCCTGTTGGAAGTTCAGAAGCCAGAGGGCTAGCGCCATGAGATTTCCAGCCACTTGGAGGGCAAGGCTTCTGCAGCCCAGAGGGCCCCTCCCCATGATGACTAAACCCCAGATACAATTCAGCAAGGTGAGAAAAGCTGCCAAACAAAAGGTGCAAACTGTGTGGAGGGGAGGGGGCGGCTCCTGCAGAGCTGGAGGTTCCTCCTCTTACCCGTGCATTTGCAGTTCTGCTACACAGGTGTATCTTCAGTGAGGGAATATTCCAGCCACATGGAGACACAGCCAAGTCACCTCCTCTGCCCCCGCCCAGGGAAGCCTGGACAACCTGCCTAATTGCTCCAGATCAGAGACTCCCACCTGGCCTTGCTGCAGAATCTGCCTTCCCTGGGCAATGCCATCAAAACTGAAGCCTCTTGCAACCTAGCGGCGACTCGCTTTGCTTCCGTTCATTAGCAGAGCTGTGCTGCATCAGATCGCGCAGCCGTCTGGTCCAGCCAGAGGCCAACCAGCTCCCCTGGGCTCCCAGAAATGGCACAGGGGTGCAATAGCACCCTCTTCCCCAAGCTCCCCAACAACGGGGGCACACAGGCACACCACGGACAGCCAGGGATTTCCTCAATCCCCTGGTCAAGCCCCCCAAACTGGTGGCCGTCTCTACATCCATCTCATGGGAGTGAATCCCACAGTTCAGCTGAACGCTGCCCCAGAACGGCTGCCCTTTTCCCTGTCCTGAATCTTCCACCTGTCAGTGTCTTGGGGTGATCCCGCTGGGAGGAGGAGAAAACTTCCCTGTTTGTGGTTTAGGGTAGCTCAGACAGCCTGTTTTCCGGTGTACTCCAACCTGGCTGTCAGGCAGGAGGGAGGGAATAATAATAATAATAATAATAATAATAATAATTATTATTATTATTATTATTATTATTATTATTATTATTATTATTATTATTATAACATTTCTATGCCGCCCCTTGCCGAAGCCTCGGGGCGGCTTACAACACAACACAATACAATATAAAAATAACAATATAAAATTAAAATTAATAATATAAAATAAATAAAAAATATAAACGATATAAAAGAAGTTATAAAAGTTAGAAAAGAAAAGAAAAGAAAAGAAGTCGTCGCCCTGGCCAGATAAATAAGTAAATATTGTTAACAATTAAAATGACGTTTAAATAAAAAGGTCTTCACCTGGCGCCGAAAAACAAATAACGACGGCGCCAGACGGACCTCTCTCACCTGATGTACCACCTCACTGGGCTGTGAGTAGGTGTTAGTGGGCATTATTCCTCCAGGTGTTAGGAGGGAAGAGCAGAAATCATGCTCCCCCCTCCCCATGTGATGAGTGTCTTGTCTCTCAGGTGTCTAGTAAAACCCCACCCACTGGTACAAAGATTGCACCTGATTGGCTGGGCTTCGTTCACTTCGGTAGCCACTGGGATTGTCTCCTGGTGGACAGGTGGGGATAGAGCCTGGCTTTGGCCAGGATGACCCTTTCGCATTTTCCTTTTTCTCTGATTTGCATCCTGGGAGAGGACAGGTTTCTAACCCAAAGTTTGCTCTCACTCAAGGGCCTACCTGCTGATCTCACTAGGCTACACAACAGTGATGGATCTGGACTGACAGGTGGACTTCCTGGTAGTTGGCAGTAGTTCAGCTGCTTGCAACAAAATACTCCCCTCTTATCTGCCCTCTTATCTGGGTTCCACTGCCAAACTGAAGAAAGGCTGGAGTAATCCGAGTGGATTTTTGTGTGGAGAAAACTGCAGAAGCTGTTCAGTTTGGGCACTCCAAACAACTCTCTGAGCTTGGAAGGGCACGTCGTCCAATTATTAGACATTCAAGATCTACCACACCTTTGTACCAGTGGCAGATCTTGAGGTCCTAATAAAATAAAATTAGATCCAGTGACCCCAAACCTACCAGCCCCGCAAATCCTTCTCCCCCCCAGAGATCAGCCTCACCTTGCCCAGCGGTTGCTCACCTTCTTCCGTTTGCGGCTGCCCCTTCTCCTTTTGCAGGCTCTCGATGTATTCAGCAACGCTGTCCTTGTAGAACCTCTGCGCCAGGTCCTGCGGGGTCTCCCCGTGGTCATTTCTGGCTTTCAGGGCATGGACCAAGGTGGGCATCTTGTCCACTAAGTACTTAAAGCAGTGCAGGTGGCCCTCCATGGCCGCCAGATGAACTGCCAGGCAGGGAGGAAAATTAACCCAGCGTCAGAGCCAAGCGGTAGCGTGCTGAAAACCCATCCCCAACGCTCCTCTTCATTCTGACAGGGAGGCTTCTGCTGATGCCCCTCTCCTCATGCAAGGCCTCCTTCTTGCTACCATGCAGGCAGAAAAGAAGAGTTGTTGATGCGTTCCTCTCTCCCTCTCCCTCTCTCGTCCCGTCCATCGTTCCCCAGTTCCTGAGAACGGCAGATATTTCCCCTGCTGTACCTGGAAGGTTGCCATTGTTATCCACGTCATCTAGTGTAGCTCCCCATCTAACAAGAAGCTGCAAACAGCCCAGCCGGCCGTGGAAAGCTGCATTGTGAATGGGCTTCCAATCGTTCTTATCGGAAACGTTCACGTCCTGGGTTTTAAGAAGGAAAGCAGGGTGGTGTGCTCCAAATGTTAAGCCGCTGCTAGAGAAGCGGTGTGAAACTCAGAAGGAAATGATCCTGAGAGCCTTGCTGGGTCAGAGCATCTAGGCAGCTTCCTTTTTCCTACGGGGCCAACGAAATAGCCACGGGGGGATGCAAACACAAGACTCCTTGATGGCTACAGGACTGGCGCCAAGGGTCAGCGTGGCTGGGCCCCTGCGTTGGGTCCACATCCCACTCCGAAGATGTGCCCAACAGGAGTTGCTCTTCCTCATGACAGCTTGCTGGGTCACCTGCCCTGACAGGGGTGGTGATAGCACAGAAGATGCCACGGCTCCAGGTGGGCTCTTGGCCGACTGCTCAGGCACGAGGTGGCGATGACAAGATGGACGAGGAGCTTTCTGGCTTGCGATAAAGGCCAAGAGGAGGCTCGCGGAGGGAAGGGGCTTTCTGGGAGTCGTGCCCAAGGGAGACCCAGTGCAGCATGGAGCTTGAAGTCCTGGACTGGGACTCCGAAGGCCCACATTCCACTGCCTACCAGGGATAGATTAGTAGACCCAGAGGGAGTTTGACTTCTGGGACTAATCACAGCCACAGAGTATGGGGAGAAAAGGTTGACCTGGCCTGCAAAAATCAGCTCCCCCACCAGCTATTACCAACTAAAAACAAAACATCTGGCCTTCAGGGATAAGGATGGCATTTGGTAAGCTTGGGCCAGTCCCTATTTCTCAGCCTGACCTACCTTGCAAGGTTGTTGGGAAGATTAAACATGGGGGATAGGACATGATTCTTTAAAATGCCCAAGTGCCGATTTGTACCAAAAAAGGGAAGGAAGCAGGAAAAGGAGCGTTCGCTTACCACCCCACTCCGAAGGATGGTTTGCAAGGTGTATGACTGTCCATGGGTCGCTGCCAGGTGTGCTGGGGTACACCCCCGTTCGTCCTGAATTCCCAGGTTCACACTGTTAAGATGAAGGGCCTATGAACACGCAAAGGAGCACGGCTCTTCTTAAACTTGTTTAAGCTACTCTGTGCAACAGGGCCATTGACAGACATTGAAAGAAATACCGATGAAGCCTAGCCAAAATGCAGTCGGATTTATAGTGGCTGGAGATTCTTCACGTGCTCAGTTGAAGGATAGAACATGTAAGGGGAATGTTGTACCTCCAGAGTACCTTGGTTGGAAGTTGTGTCCCTTAAATTGGTCCCAAGCTAATCTTAATCACATTTGTATTGAAGATACCCAATATCTACATTAATTTCCTGTGATCGTGTTCTGAAAGTAAACACTGATGTATAGCAACATAACATGATGGATTGTGGGAACCGAGCGAGGGGGAGAGGGTTACATGAATATTTGAATATTGTGTAATTCAAATACTCCCATCCAGCTTCTCAAATGTTAACTGAACTGACAGACCTAGTACCTTGACATGTGTTGGACCTCAAGTCCCATTATTCCCAACCTCTAGCTAAGCTGGATGAGGATTTGGGAAGCTGGGCTCAACCCATCCTGTGGGTCCCACATTGGAAAATATTACAGGAGAAGTTTGCTAATGCATATCATAAAGCTTGCTCCAGACAACACAGTAATTTGCACAGGAGCTGAGTGCAAGTTGAGTCTGGATTGCTGTGAGCTGTGTGTTGTTAGTGCAGTCTGGATTGTTGTGTTGTCTGAGTCCAAGTGGTGGACAACCCATGAAGGGATCCTGTGGAAACTCATTTCGCTGTAAGAACTTCAGAAGCCATTCAGCTGGGACTTCATTACGCATCGTGAGAAAGAATCCTTTCCTTCTCTTGTCCATCCTGAATCTACTAACCAAGAGGTGCTTCTGGACAAAGCTTTGATCCCACTGTTGGCATACGGCATTCATGCAATTTTATGGGGCAGGCGTCTAGATGTATCATCTCCCGATCCCCTCCTGCGTTTTCCCACTGCTGCTTCTGGCTTTTTCCTTTTTGCAAAAAATCCTCGAGGGAGGAAAAGGCCAAATTGTTGCACAACCTGCTGAGTAATAGGACTAGTAGGTTTTTCTCCAGAAACACCCTGGGGTTGCAGTCCCAGCCTGCAAGAATGCAGGGCTGGCGTGTTTGTTTGTTTCCTTTTTGTTTGAGTTAGCAGAGAGGCTGACACCACCTGCATCTGCCCACCCCGTGTTCTCTTTGAGCTCAGCTGCAGTTCCCTTCATCCATCTATAACTCCCTGGAGTAATTAAAGATATTTGTAGGGAAACCTGGCCTCTGTGGCAGTGAGACCCATTCGCTTTGCAAAAGACTTGCTCCTGATGGAGCTGAAACTGCTAGAAATGGTTTTTTGATAGAGACCCACACAACTGCCGCAATCCGCGGACGTGGCGAGAAGGACCACTGGATTTGCAGCACTGGTGCTCAATGAACCCACCATGGTTTGCGATTCTGAGAAAAAGGAAGGGGCCGGTGGCTCTGCATACACTTTCCCCACAGCGGTATTCAGAGTTGTGAAAAGGGAGGGGGGGGGAGGAAGCAGCAGAAGCAGCAGCGAAGCCAAAACCCCTTGTGCCTGAAATCAGGGTCAGCCGAGGTTGGGTGAAGAGGCGTACCTGCATGCATGCGTCCTGGCCTTTGATGGCAGCCAGATGAGCCACGGTCCAGCCTCTCATGGTCACTGCCGTCGGGTCAGCTCCATGCCAGAGCAGCCACTGAAGGCACTAGCAAACGACAAGCGTGCATTTGGAAGCCGGTCCTCCCCACGTGCTCACGCCTTGCTCGGCAGCGGCTGATCTAGCACTGGGGCTCCCATCTCCGCTGCCTCGCATTCACAGACGAGCAGCCCTCCCCAGCAGTCGGTCCGTGTGCGACCCCATTTTTCAGAGCCGCCTTCGCACCAGCCTGCCCTCCGCCGGGAGAGTCCCCCGTGCCTGCTTGGAAGGCATGTTTTTTGGAGCCTCTTCCAGAATGCTTCCGTCGCTTATCTACTGCAAACCCCCTTCAGAGTTCACCTTTCCTGTTAAAGCCCTTGGGATGAACTCCTGGGCTCCACACCCTATTGCCGCAGTCTCCAGCTGGCAGTGCTTGCTGGGGGATTCTGGGGAATGTAGTCCATCCTGGAGGCAGGGGTTGCTACGTGCTGTTCTGCATTACACAGCCCTGCCTCCGTACCCCTCCCCTTACCCCGCCGGCTCCCTTGTGTGTACTTCCAGATTGTAATCCCTTTGGGGCAGAGACCTACCCCTCTGTCCTGGGCAGAGCGCCCGTTATAAGACCAGCAGAGCCTGCACAGTGGTTTCCCCTCGCCAGGCCTGCTTTCTTACCTCCAGGCTTCCAGAATGTGCTGCCCAGTGCAAGGGTGTAAACTTATGGACGGGATCCGCCTCATTCATGCTGGCGCCACACGCCACCATCTTGCTGAGTTCTTCCACGTTCCCAGCTCTGACAGCCTCGTGCACGCTCTTGAATTTCTTCTTCTTTGCAGCTGCGGCAGAGTGGCAACACACCAACAACCCGTTTAATTGCACAGCCAGGTTTGCGACGGCCATGCGGGGCATCCCTGCACGACTCGGGCGCCTTCCTGCAGCCGTGCAGCCCCCTAGCCCGTCTTCCTGGCATGGGGAAAGGCAAGGCAGAAAGCCCCCACCCCACTCCTCCAAGCCGTGTTCGCTCACCGAAAGGGCTACCCAAAGGTCAAATTACCCAAAGATGTAGTATGAACAGCTGACTTTTTGTTTGTTTCATAAGGAAAAAAGAAAGGTAAGGATACAGTGAAAAGGGGAAACCAAAAGATGTACAACACACGAAGTAGTTTCTACTCTAAATAAGAACCTTTAGATCTTCCGTCCCCATAGGCAAGTCAAGAGAAAACTCTGGTTTGCTACTGTCGAAAGAGCGAACTAATTCAACTGGAATTTTTCTGCTGCCCACTGGATTGGTTTCTCTGCCCTGAAACCCTGAAAAGACTTCAAGCTGCATGGCTTCCCCTGGGGAAATCGAATATTAGGCCTGGCTTATTTATATATCCCTTTTTCTTTCCTCCATGAACTCAAAGTGGCTTGCAAAATCCTCTTCCTCCTCACAACCACCCTGTGAGGTAGGTGAGGCTAAGAGTCCATGGCTGGTCTGAATTACCCAGTGAGCATCACAGCTCAGTGGGGACTAAAACTCAGATCACCTGAGACCCAGTCCAACACTCTAACCACTACACCACACTGTCTGTCACAGCCTAGGAAGCCAGCCAGCCAGGCGAGGCAGACAGAGATGCTATTTTTCCCCATGGGCTGCTCTCATTCTTTGCCTTTAAATATCCAAGAAAGAGATTAAAAGTGAGTAGCAGGATTGTAAGTATAGTGAATAATTTGAAAATGTAATGAGTAACTTATGGTGGGTATTTTTTTTAAATTGCTTTAAGTTATCTCTTTACTTCACCCTTCAGCAATAAGTGGCCATAATAATAATGAGTGTACTCATAATTGTAGGCTGAACACACACACACACACACACACTTCTTACTGCAGGCAAACAATCAGGACTCTATCGCTAGCTGGATAGTAACTCAGATAAAATGGAAACTGAAGGCAAGGCAAAAGTAAGACCAAGGGGTGCTGTCTAACTCCAGTCCATAATGCAACTTCCTAATAGGTAACTTTTTAAAAATCAAATTACTGTCTAAACTGTTTTTTCCAAGGTCACTTAGGTAATTCGGGTGATTGTGACCAGGAAAAATCCCCTTGGGGTGAGCAAGCTTCGGGGGGCAGGGGGCATCTTCTAATTGAGACATTTGCTGTGCATTCATCCTGCTTGATAAACAGAGGTTTTTGGAGGACTCTAGTCTTAAATAACTCCTGTGCTTAAAATAAGTTGCCATTCTTTTATCAGAAGCTGTCACTGCCACAAACAAAAAAGACAATTCCCCCCCTCCAAAAAAAAATCCAGAAATGGGAAACGCAGCACCCAATTATTTGCCCTACCTTGGCTACAGGCCTGACTCTGTAAGCTTGTCAGATAGCAAGAAAAGGTCTTCTTAGTTTTCTTCTTTTGTTTCACGTCCTTGTTTTCTAGTTTTACGTACACAAATCTGCAGGCATTAGAAAAGCAGGGACAGGTCCCCTGATGGTTTGCATTCACCACTGTGACTGACCATCCTCACCTTCCAATTCTTTGACAGCAGGTTAAAAATGGCAAATGGCGAATGATGAGCCCTGGCAAAAACAAAGTGCTCTGTGCCTGCAGATGTCCGCGACTTATGCTCACCCTATGAATGGAAGCCCTCCAAAATGTCTTGTCCATGACAGCCCTGCTCGGCTCTTCCAAATTCAAGGCAGTGGCTTCCTTGGTGGAGTCCCTCCGTCTCCTCATCGGTCTTCCTTTTCTTCTTCAATCCCTAGCAAGATTGCCTTCTCTAGCCAGTTTCGTAAACATGATGGAGTTTTACAGAAGCCCTTTTCCCCTCTTAAACCCTTTTTAAAAAATCCTAAAGAGGCAACAACATCAACACAATCCAGGTGCATCCTCACTTCTCTGGAATCTTTAGTGTCAACTGGCATAGAGAGAGAATGAAGATAGAAAAACTGGGACAGTGAGGAAAGCAGGAATCAAAAATAGAAAATAGTTGGCTAGAATCCTTTTATGCTCTGCAACATGGTTTGAAATCATGACAGCAGCTATTTTTATTATATGTATTTCTATATTATTTATTAATAGTTATTATTATTATTATATATTATTTAGCATATGTATGTGTGTATATATATAATTGATGTATTTGTTGGGTTTATTTATTGTTTTGTTTAATTACGTTGTATGCTGTCCTGAGACATTTGTTAAGGATGGGGTAAAATATTGTAAATAAATAAATAAAATTATTTATTACATTGCCAAACTACCATAGTCAAAGCTCACTGAGAGGTTTACAACATGTAAGCCACCCAGCCCGTCCAGATTGCAGCCCAGCCCTGCTTAGCTTCCAAGATTAGTCACACTGCATTTATATCCCACCTTGTTTCCTGTTGTGAGGCAAGGTGGCTTACATAGTTCCATGGTTTTAACCCCACAACAACCCTGTGAGGAGGTAACAACCACCATGGAGCCAGTTTGGCATTGTGCGTACAATATTGGGCTGGGACTCAGGTGCTCCTGATTCAAGTCTCCCCTCAGCCATGAAGCCAACTGGGTGACTCTGGGCCAGTCCCTGCCTCTCAGCCTAATCTACCTCACAGGGTTGTTGTTGTGGGGATAAGATGGAGAGGAGAAGGATCATGTCAGTTGCCTTAATGCCCAGGAAAGGGGGAATATGCAGGACAGTAATACTAACCACAGTGAAACTATGGAATTTACTTATGCAAGATGTGGTTAAGGGGACACATCAGGATGGTTTTAAAATGTATTTTTCTCCTTTTCAAATTCTACTCTGGAATTCAAATTTCTGTTTTGCTTTGTTGTTTTGCTTAGTTCAGTTGTCAGATTTCAGTTCCTGAAGTCTGCCAGGTGATACTTAAAACATTCCTACTGTTTAATAGTAATCCTTATGAAATTCTACTCACAATAGCAGAAGCTCCTGGCTCCAAAAGGTTTTGAGGGAAGGAGGAAGGTGCTATTGAAAAGAAAGTTGACATTTTCCCCTATGGAAATGCAATGAGAAGACCAGTATTTGGGTGGTTTCTCTACCTTCTAAAAACCCAAAAACAAAAATGAGTTGGATGTTGAAGAAAACACAGTGCCCTTTCAAAACAGACTCTGTATTCATCTTGTAGCCAGTCTAATAATTGCTAGCATGCCAAAAAGTTCATTTCTATATCTCCCGATTGCTGAAGCTCTCTGGGGAGTTCTCAAGAATTTTTTAAAAAGTAGGGAGGGGCAATTCTGGTTCTTTTCAGTTATTTGTTTGGAAAATGAAGTAGAGAGATAATTTAGAGGGTATCTCCCCTCCTATAGCCCACCCATGAGCTACAAGTCCACTCTGTACATACTCAAGTTATCCTGCAGCTTCTTGGTAGAAAATTAGCATTCTGGGCAGGTGTAGATACATTTTATTTATAGGTCTGTTTTCTGATTTATGCTATTTCTTATAAGTTTAATTAAAGCATTTGTGTACTACCCTTTAGGTTTGGTTTCTAGGGGCATTTACAAAAGAGAACAATCAATACAAAGTATCTTAAATAAGCAAACAAGCAAATAATCCAGGCTCACAAAGCAAACGAAACCAGCATTCCAAAATGAAAGAAAGAAATCATTTGCAAAGCCTGAAAGAATTAGAAGGAAAAGAAATTAACTGAAGTATACAATCCTGCACAACAGGACCACTGAAAAAGAAATCCCAGCGTTCCCCAGGGGTTATCTCCGCTTAAGCGCGTATCTGATGGCAGGTTTTGTTCCACGGGGGCAAAGGCTCTCTATGCATGCTCAGAGGCATCTGGTTCGAGTGCCCCGAGGCTTGAACACAGGAAGTGGGCAGCCCTGCATTCAAAGAGCGAGAGTCCTGCCGAGGGGACCCCCACCCGAGCAGTAGACCAGTAAGCCGCGCCAAGCGCCGGCCTCACCGTTGGGGGCGTCCGCCGCAGGCATGGCCTCGCAGGGGCGCGACGGAGCCTCGATCCGCGCAAGCCTCCGCCGTCCGCCCGGGTCGCTCCGGGCGCTTCTGCGGCTGCCGGAGCGCGGCTGCCATGGAAACGGTGTACACTTGATGCTCCCTCGAGCCTCTGCCTCAACCGGCAGCGGTGCGAAGGAGGGGGGGCGTGTGCAGGCACGCGCGTGCCCGCGTGTGCGTGCATGCGCGCGCGCGCAGAGGGGATGCCCACCGGCTGCAGACGCAAGAAGGCGCCGCTCCTCCGGCTGCAGGGAAAAGCTTCCCGGAGGAAGGGAAGCCCGTCTCGGAGCTGCACTCCGGTTGCGCAGCGAGATAACCAGCCCGCGGTCTGCGCACAGCGCGGGCTCTCCAAGCGGGGTGCGAGGCGAGGGCGTGCGCAGGTTTTGCGCTTGCACGCATCCAGTTGGGGAGGGCACTGTGATCTGATCTGGATTTTGCTTGGTTACTATCACACCTTTTCTTTTTGCACTTGCAGGGAGCCCAAGGTGGGCCTGCCTAATCTTCCTGCACCTCGCCCTTTGATCCTCACAACAACCCTGTTAGGTAGGCTAGACCGAGAGTCAGTGATTGGTCTAAAGTCCCCCCGTGAGCTGCACAGCTGAGTGTGGACTAGAACTTGGGCCTGCCCAGGTCCTGGACCAACCGTCTCACTTTTATACCCCATTAGCTGGTTAGTTAAATTTATTTTAACTGACTAATAAAAGCTGCTGTCACAAGCATGCATAGCCTCAAGAAAGTGAATTTAATTCACTGCAGCTTACTTCCAAGTATTATGATTATTAATTTTATTTCTCTACCACCTAATAGACAAAACTCTATATAAAATATAAATAACAGTGCAAACATTATAAAATTCCATTTAAAAAATTAAACCTATTTTTAGCGACTTAAACAGCTAAGACCGTACTGCTGATTTCCTAAAAGAGTGGAGGATACCTAATCCCACAAGTGCTATTTGAAGCTATGAAATGCATTGACTTGGAGGCCTTTCTAAGCTTGATGCCGAAAGGATAGCAAAGTTGTTGTAAGCTGAGTCCCAGTCATTCCATAATTTGGGGGCTACCACAGAGAAGGCCCTCCTCCTGGTTGCCACCAGAGGAGCATCCCTCAGAATGGAAGTTGGAGGAAGGTCCTGGGTGTTGATCAAACTAGCCAGGTAAATTGGCCTCAAGCCATGTAGGGTTTGCAGGCTAAATCCATCCCCTGGTTGGACTCAGAAGCATATGGGCAACCAGTGCAAGTGCACCAGAAATCAAGTTACAAGGGGGGACCCCAAAAAACAGGAATTTGTTTCTTAAAAATCAAGTATTTATTTTTACATGTTCAAACTTCAGTCACCTTCAAAGTATTCTCCATCTGGTGCAATCGAGACTCTTTTCCGCTGCTCAAAACAGGTTTTGAACTCATCGATTTTGTTGCCTTTTCGTGCCTCTGCTGTTTTTCGTTTCACCTCTTCTGCATCGGCAAAAACATTTCACTTTGAGGACTTTTTTCATCCAGGAAAAAAAAAAATCGCATGGGTTGAGATTGGGTGAATAGGGAGGGTGGGACACAAGGGTCACGTTTTTGGTCAAAAACTGCTGAACACTCAGCTGGAAATAATTTCACCGCCACATGTTCACAGCCATCACGAAACAGGCAAATATGTTGAAAGGGTCTCTAAAAAGAGAACCTTGCTGAGCCAAATGCCGCCTCTCCCAACAGCCCAGCTGGGTATGTGGATGCAGATGGGTTCCTCGAAGGGGAAGCAGCTTTTCTACGAGGGGCTCACCCTCCAGAAGATGATCCCTGGGCTTTTGGGTCCCCCCTCGTTTGCACTTGAAAACACCTGGTTCCAGTTATCAGACCAGTTATCGGAGGTTGAGGTGGCTGGATGGGGTCACTGGGGTGGTGGGTGTGGGCTTGGGTGGGCTCTGAGGGATGGAGGAGGGCAGGAGAGCCTGGAGGAATGTTGTCCATGGGGTCACAGTGGGTAGGGCCTGGCTTTGCAACTAAACAACAATCAGACCAGTTGCTGGATGTTGCAGAAGCTGCTGCTTCGCTTCGACAAAAGCCTGCATTAATTTATTGTTCACCCAGTTTAGCAACCAATGGGGTCTAGCAAAAAACCAAAAGCCGCCTTCTTGATCAGCGGTTTCCACTTTTTTTTTGGTTGGTGGGCACATTTGGAAATGTGCAGCAGGGCTGCTCCCATGAAATGGCTAAAATGGTAGTAGGGTGGGAGAATTCCCCATAAAATATTTGCATCCCAGAAGGCAAACTGAGCCTTGGAAGAACAGAAAAGCGTCCAAGAACCTAAGGCAGAGGTCAAGCCTGAACAGCAGAACTCAAAACTAAAGAGCAGTGTGGTGTAGTGGTCAGTGCAGCACTGGGACTCGGGCAATGCGGGTTCTAGTCTCTGCTCAGCCATGGAGCCAACTGGATGACTTTGGCCAGTCGCAGATGCTCAGCCCAAGCTACCACAGGGTTGCTGTGGGGAGTAGATTGAGAGGAGGAGTATTATGTAAGCCTCTTTGAGTCTTTGTAAGAAAAAAAAAGGTGGAGTACAAAATTAGCAAATGAATAAAACTGCTCTTTTGAAGCCAAATAAAATATAGTGCTGAAGGGCAGCACTCTTTTGCACCATTCCAGCCGCCCAGTTAAATAAAAAAAAAAATCAGGATGGAAACAGAATTGGGTTTTGCAAAGGCGTGAATGGGATAATGAAATATGGAACATGGTAATTAATGATAAACTGACAACAGAAATAAAAATTAAAAGAGGGTTAATGAAAGCAAATACATATAATGAAATTTGGGAAGATTTTGTAAAAGCAGTATTGATAGAAGGCAAAGGCTGTAAACCCAGTCAAGATTATATGACCTTCTGGAGGGGATATGGAAATAATTGAAGTATATTATATATTATTGTTATGGTATGTGAATGGTGGTAGCATTGGTCTCCGGGGTGGTGGGGGCACTTTTACTTTTTATTACTGTGTTTTTGTTATGTTGTATTATTATTGTTGTGATGTATTGTAATTTTTTTTCGTCAAAAAAATTGGGGGGAAAACACAGGAGGCTACCACATATTCTTGAACAATTTACTGATTTTTTTAAATCTCATCAGCAATTAATCAGCTTTGTAGTATAGCCCCATTCTAACACGTGTGGTTTCTGTGATTGAAAAATGGGGAATTCTTGCCTGTGAATGGAGTTCATGCTCTTGTAAGGATCCAACCTTGTCCCAGATGTTCAAAGATGTCCAACAGAGGTTTGGGGCATATCAGCAGGTATTTCAGAGCAAAATGTTACAGCCAGAGATTACATGAAGATCCAGAATTGAATCTTTAGACAGACACCGATGGTTCCCCCAGTGCTTACGCCAAGAGAACTGGGCAAATGGTACCCTTTCCTACTCAAACTTGCATCCTAGTTGGGGCTACAATCTAATTTTTAAATGGCAAGTTCTTTAATCATGACGGGAAGCAAGTCCCATTTCTGGTAAAGGAGGGAGCACATAGCCAGCAAGGCTAGTAGCCACAGGTAGCCCTTTTTAAAGCCATCCAGATTGGCGGCCATCACCACTTCCCGTGGCAGCAAATTTCAGTTTTAACTATATGCTGTGTGAAGGACTTCCTTTTACCTGTCCTAAACCTCTGACCACCAATCAGCTTCTTAAGAGATGCACTCCCCAGCTTGAAAGGTAGCATGCTTTTTTAAAGAACGCTTAAAATTATAGTTGTGGATTTGTATATATATATTTTAGTCAATTTTCTAAAACCAGTTGATTGAAAGTTGGAGTCCTCTTCCCAATGCTGGCAAGAAACAAAGAACTTATGCATCCATTTTGACGAGTTTACATTGAAAACTTTCGTGGATATGGGCTTTAACTACGGTGCTCGGAAAAAATAACAGGAAGACTAATACCACTACCACCAAGCTAGCTAATTTAATAGCTGCTTTCATAACACAGCACTTTTCTAGGTAATAAAAACTAATTAATTCTTGTTATTCACACACAGCATTGGAAGCTTGATTTTCTCAAATCACTGAAGACAGTTCAAAGTTCAATGTTTGCTAAATAATGGCAAACTCTAGGGTTGAAATTACACATGAAAAGGTTAAACAGTCCCCACATTAAAATTGCCTTGATTCAAATCTTCCTGGGGCAGCTCTCTAAGACAAGACCCGAAATCCTGTAATAGATCCAGAGCTTTGGTCCTAAATAGGCCTTGAGATTGTGAAGAATCCCACCTTTACAACCTTCTGAGGCCCAACAGGTTCTGGGCACAAAACCATATACTTATTCATATTCAGTGTCAGAATATGCACAAGCTTGTCTTTCCCCAAGCAATCCATGAAATAAAGAGATTCAGACTGGTTTATGCTTCATTCTAGTTTATTACAGGAAATAAATATTAACATCTCTTGGTAATCTCTTTACTGTCTAGACCCAAGTTATAAACCAACAAAAACATTAACCATACTGCAACTGGGCAATCTTACATTAACTTATCTCTGCAAAATTAAAGAAAATTGGCTCGGCTAAACTAAGTTCTTGTGAATCTGACTAGCTGAAAAGAGTAATTATGAAAATCTGGATCTGCTTCTGTACTTCCTGTAAACTGTTGGCACGTGTCCCAAGTCAAGCATGTTATTTTGTTACTTCACCCTCCTAGCTGTCTTTTTAAATAGTTGTGAACACAGGTTAAGAAGAATAATCCAATGTATCTTCTGGAACAGAAATGTTCATCTTAAACTCGCACGAAAAAGTCTATCTGTCATTTCTCTGAGTAACCTAATTAAGCACAAGGCCAATGTAGAAGCCTGAGTTCAGTTCCATTTAAAACACCCCGACAAAAGAAATACTTTTTTTAATTGGATGGTGTGCATAAACATTATACTCCATAGATAGCAAAAATATCTTTTATTTATAATTTACATTTCCACAAATGAAAAAATGTACATTTTTTCTTACATATACAGTCTATTCCTGTTAAATTTGTACGCCATCTACAGAACTTTCACACAATAGACACCTGACACTGTGCAGGCAATAAGAAATTCAAGTACAAATACAAAAATGTATTTATTAACCAAATAAGCAGCTGGGGCCCTGCCCCAGGTGAACACTTTATTCATATAAAAATTATTTGCCTTCTACAGTCAGCTAGAACACAGTAGCTCTTTCTCTGTAATAAAAAAAAATCACACAGTTTGTTTAAGCTGACTCCACCTTTTCAGGTTCTGTTTTAATTTCGACAGATGCAGGCAGGCCCCCTTCCATGCATTCCTCAGGCTTTTCCTCAGGCTCTTCTTTGATTTTGGGACTGTTACAGGAATCCTGTACTTCTTGCTTGACAATACTCAACATAATATTTAGTGGGTTTTCTGCAGGTGTCTTGCTAGGAGATGGTGTTGAATCAAATGATGAGGTCTGTAAATCAAAATTACCATGTACAGGAATGTCACCATTAAATTACTTGACTGCATGTTTAAAGACATGTTTGCAGTGCGCAAATTTAAAACACTGCTTTCACAATCTGTATATCATCTGCAATGACCTACAACTTGCAAAATAAAATACCTTTGCCTTGTTGCAATTCTAGGAATTTCAACTTGCATTTGTATTTTAAAAAAGGTTTCATAAATCTCACTGCTTCACAGATTAAATTTGGCTCAGCCAAAGAACAGAAATCCACAAGCATACATTGCTATTGAACATCCATGGTTTTTAAATCACCAGAGTGAATCTAAGTGGAAGAGCTGCTTCATACTTTCCTCAATTAGGAGTAAATTTCTGAAGGGAAAGACTACTGAAGAGCCAGGACTAACTCTGCCTGCCCAATGAGGGTTGCAGCAAACTAGTGATCCCCGCCAAGACATTTATAGCATGGATGTAGAAGCGAACTGTACGGAAGACAAGGACGCGCTTACCTTTTGATAATCTTCATAGCATGAGGGATGGTAGATCTAGAGAGGGAAGAAAACCAACCTTAGTCTCCACATATTTAAAAAGCTACACTAGAGTGCATTACAAAGCCATGATATTTATTTCATCAAATCACACATTTCACTAACATTTTTGATCAGACTTCCCTAGATTTCTTCAGCACTACTGTAAATCTTGATCCCCTTTTACTCATTGCGCCCGTGGCAATGTAAACATTCGGCCACAAAAGCAGACTGACAAAGCAGCCAAGGAGTCAACAGGAAAGAGCATTTCCAAGGTCACCACCCTTTCAAAATCATAAAAGCCATGAGTTTACCACCACAGCCAGTGCTTCCTGTGTGTTGCTACATCAAAAAAATACATTCAATATTACCTTTTCATCTACACGAATGGCATTTTTTAGGTGCCACTCCTCCTCTTCCTCATCCCAGTATTGCTCAAATTGCTCTTGGCAGATTTCACAGCTCTGAAAAATAGAAAAGTAGTTAGAGGGCTCTGTTTACATTTGCAGTGTTCTTGTGTTTTTAGATCATTACTAAGATCATTAGGAATCTTATTTTGTCAGACTGCAAAAATGATGGGTACAGGACAACTACAGCAATTCTGCACCTTGCTATTATCACCAACGTATGCAGAATGTAAAATTCATTTCATTAATATGGCAATCCTATGTGGTTTGCCCACAGTGCATGCAAGTATCCAAACAGGAGGCAAGGTGCAGTGGAGAAAATTGTCTTGTCTCCTGTATATCAAGATGGATGCTTTTGGCCGTCTAGATGAAATCCTGTGCAGGGCCGTGAGGAAGGAGGAGGCTGGAGCATTTGGATATGACATAAGCTGCTAACCCCAAGCTTCTCCCCTCCCCATCAACACGACATTCCCTTTGGCCATCCAGCGGCAAAGGGAGGGGCGGACTGGGGCCTCCACATTCAGAGCTCCATGGCTGAAGGACCTCAGAACTGGCATTTCCCCATCCCCCGAGACAAAGCTAGCAGGCCAAAGGATGATACGTGGAGGGCACAAAGCTATGCATATAGAACTACAACTCCCAGCATGCTCCACCCTTCCCTAGACAATACTAGAAACTGTAGTTCTGTCCATACATGCAAATAATATGCCCTAAATTACACTAACACATAGTAGATATGCTTTTAAATTACAGCTACAACCAAATTCTTGGCATATTGAATTCTTACTGAACTCCCAAATGGACAGGGAGATGGGATTTCCTTAAATAGAATTTTCTTTCCAACAAAACATGGGAAAAAATCCCATGTTTGGTGGATTCATACTCAGTCTATAGATCCTTGTTGTCTTTTCTTACCATAAATACATATCTACAAAAGCCAGCTGTGTACGGACCAGTAGGTATTTTGTACCAGACACATGTAAAATATGTTTAAACAATTCATCCATTACAGATAGAAGCAAAGAAGAAGAACAAAAGCAAGGATTTTTGCATAAATAGACCATTCTTACACATAAGCTGCAGCCAGGTAGGAGAGCAATAGTTACCTCATCTACTCCAGCTGGGCCTGCAGGGACACTCTGAAACTCTTTTTCTTTAGCAGCTTCTTGTGTTTTTAACACAACTTCTTCATGCACTTTTTCAAAGAACTGACTCTTTGCACGCTCCTCCAAATCAGCTATTTCTTCAAACTCTATCCAGTCCTAATGAAAAACACAAATTTCAAAACATTTTCTTTGACCTGTTCCCCAAGCGTTAAAGTAGACAAGTTCCCATTACAGTGAAGCAGGAATGCCCCCGTTCCACACCTGTTTCTTAGGAACTGGATCAAACCGAAGCGTGCATGACCTTAGGACACTGTTTTATACTGGTCCATCCAGCCCTAGGTTGCCAGCACTGACTGGCAGCAGGCTCCCAGGGTTTTAGAGGCAGAAATTTTACAGCCCCATCTGGAGATGCCTGGGACTGAATCTAGACCTTCCTATGCAAGGCATGGCAGTCGACACTGAGATATGGCCTCTCCCTGAAGAAGTAAGGATGCAGGGCTTCTGAAGATGATACACTGCTGAAAAAACAGATCCCTGACCCTGTATCACTTTTGAATCACCACAGAACTACAACCAGCAATAACTTTACAATCATGGCTGTAAACATATCAGAAATGACACACCAGTGCCAGAATCCACCACTCATATTTTTGCTAAAACAATTCTAAATGTTAAGGTCTACCTATGGCAGAGTACCTACAAACACTTTCAGTTCTCACACACAGGATTTTTCTTCAACCTGCTAGTTGAATAAATGTTTGAAGTCACACACAAACATTTCTACTCCCCACCCCCTTTTTTGTGTAATCGACTATTGCAAGTGCAAAGAGGTTTTTGAAAACGCAGTTTCAAGTACTTCTCTGATACAGACACTGTGACCACCAGAGGGCACTCCTGTGCCAACAGATTACAAATGGATCACACTACTGGGGATGCAGGACAAACAAAACACATGTTCTTTTAAAATAGGCCCTTTGAAGTATATAGCTTTAGAAATGTGCATTTTTAAGAGCATGGACCACACTTTAAAAATGCACATGGTCATGGTTTAGCTAATGCAGGAAAAGTGCACACTTCTGGAAAAGGCACATTCCCAGTTTGAATTACCAGAAAAACACCATTGCAAACAGGAAGAGGAGTGAGCTTTGAAGTTACTTTCTCCCATCTCCACTCCCAAAATGGCTTATTTGGCGTAAACTGGCAGAAGTATGTTGAGTCCAGCAGACTGGCAGCCAAATATCTAATAAGGAACAGAAAGCAGATGGCTTCAAGAGTCCAACAGGAGGGCTATAAATGTGTAGAAGCAACAATTTACCAGGAATGTTATGAGAAGCCATCATCCAACATGGAACTCTGCACCTTCAGACAGTTAAGCCTTCAAAAGGAGTCAGGTAATTTTAATTCAAACTAGCTTGGAAGCCTCAAGCTGCTTTAGGCATGCATTCAACCCAGTATCTTTTTGCTTCGGTTACCAGTTTCCCAATCCTTTGGAATATGACAGGCAATACATTTAATAACAGTTCTCTGTGTCCTGACATGAAGACTGATTGATCACTTACCGTTAAACTGTAGTACCATCTTCTATGGGTTACTTTCCTGCTCACATCCTTTTCTGTACGATTTTGGCGATAGTGCCAGTCCAAGTGATCGGCATATACATCTGTCTGTGAAGTTGTGAACCTCATTCCACAAGAGTAGCACTGAATGCCAGTATAGAGTCTGTTTATAACACTATCATAACGCCTGAAAACAAATCAGAAACCTTTTAGCAGCTGGCTCATGTCAACTATTTTGGGAAGAAAAAGCTAAGCAAATTTTAAAGAACTCCAGGTTGTGCACGGAAGACCACACTAGTTTTCAAGCTGGAAGATGGCTAACAAGAGTATCAAACACAGATGACCCAAAACAACTTGCTCTAGAGCTTTACTCTAAAGAGAAAAATGTGGAGTATGTCTTTCTCATCCAAGGACTAGAACAGCGATGGGGAACATGGGGCCTTCACGATGTTCTTAGGACTGCTGTCTCCAGCTGGTATTGCCAATGATCAGGATGACAGGAGTTTGAGCCAAACAACATGTAGGAGGCCACAGGACTTCCACCCCTGGATTAGAGGACCAGGCTGTGGAAGGAAAGATGGGATGGGTGGAAAGAAGGGGGTTCAGACACTGAAAGAAGAGAAATGGAACAGGGCTGCATGGCAAACGCCTGGCAGGGACTTGCAGGTCAGCACTCCCATCAAACTATATGAAAGTCAGGCAAGTATAAAGGATCAAGGCACAGCTGTACCTCCTTAAAGAGGCCCAGTGTAAGCTTTGTGACATTTCTATCCAGAATACTGTACATGGTTAATGCATAATTCTAATACTTTCTTACAGCCCCATTGGGATTAATACACATAAATATAGCACTTTCCTGCCCTTGAAACAGGAGCTTCCTGTCCTTCCACATTAAATTCATGTTTCTTTCAATCCAATATTACTGTATTGTTTTCTTAAGCAAAAATGTCATGACTAATTGCACTGGGGGTTTCTGTCTCTAAACAAATATACATACTGTTTCAGTTCTTCAATCACAAAGTTAGTTAAGTCTGGGACATCTTGATCCTCATTCTGGTCTTGATCCTCCTCCTCCTCCTCCGGGGTTGGCTGAGTAGAAACTTCATTTACTTCTAAAAAAAATGAGGTAAGTTGTCAAGTAATTGTACAACTTATCTAGAAACTTCTGAATTTAAAAAAGGTTCAAGAATATTTTAATTGTTGTAAAGTTTTTTTATTCACTCCAACTTCATCCCTTGACTTTAAAAATAAAAAATACAAATTTACAATCTGTCAAATTCTGCCCAGCAAAAAGTCATTCCTGCTAATTTTGATCGGTGCCTACTATTAAGTCCATTCATCTCTACAAAATTCTTAGATCAAAATATATGGGACTCTGTATCTAAATTTGTGTTATAACTAGCCTTACCATTAAAAAAATCAATATACAGGGCCAGTTCACACAATGAAACAAGCCATGGACAAAATAAGTCATGTGGCTTGCTTTACCATGCCACAGCTTTCAGGATAATTTCCTTAATTACTGTTCCTGGGTAAAGCTGGATGTATCATCCAAACCTTGTTCGAAGGAGAAACAACTGGCTTGTTTGAGGAGGAAATAACCATGCAATAGTCCATGGGTTATCTGTGGGGTGCTTCTCCCTTAAACAAGCCACACCACCTGCTTTCCAATGACACAAGGCGACAGATCTGGGAAAACAGGTAGGGAAATGACACCCAGCATGCCCCAGGAGTTCAGGTCAGTGAATAAAATGGTACTGCTTACGTGCTGGAGTTGAATCAGGCTGTAAAACTTTGAGTATTCCTGTGGAAAGCAGTTTTGAGTACAATTCATTGACATCCAGTTGCCCAAGATGATTATCAGGGTAGGAAAGAGGAACATTTCCTAAAACACCAATAAAGAAGTTAGTGATGCACTTCCCCAGAATGCTTAATGTAGTTTGTAACTAACTGGTTAGGTTTAGACATAATCGTCTGATCAACAGTCAAACCTTTTACAAGACATTCTTTTCTCACCAGTGGAATTCCAAATGTCACTTTGAAATGTTATTGCCATTCCTTCCCCTCTCAGCATTGTAACCTGACTATATTTGATGACCTTTTGGGTTCTGACAGCATTCAAATTCGATCACACATGCCTGAATTCTGCCCCGATCTGGTCCTGACCCAATGCACACTGCACAACCACTTCTCTGTCTCTAGCTTCATAGCACCATTTGCACCTTTAACTACCAGTAAAAGGTGGTTAAACTCCCTCAAACTCAAATCATTTTCTCTCTCTCCAGGGCTCTCTCCTCCTCCTCCTCCCTTTCAAATTTCACACCATCTGCCTACTTATCTCCACTACCTCCAAAACCAGCAGTTTCACAGGCAGCAAATCACAGCTCTTGCTGCTTTAAGAGGCCACAATCCAGAGCAACTTCAGAGACACTCTAAAATGCCTGTCCCCAGCAGTAGCTCGCACAATTATTTCCTTGTGTTTCGTACTGTAAACTCTTCCAAGTTTTATATAGAGTATGAGGAAATGTTTCAGAGCCACAAGTCTGAAGTCCCAACAGGTATGCAACAGAAATGCAGCTACAGTTTCCAAACTGGGTTCAAGACTGTGAGAGCTGAGTTTTGTTTTCCATGTCCACCTGCCCGCTCTGTCCTCTGTCCTCCCTCATTTAGTATTTGCACCAACTGTATGCGGGATCTACAAATAAGCTTGGTCCCAGTGCCCTTTTCATAAATGCCAAGGGAGGAACTTAAAATGAAGCATTATCAGACATTCCACTGGGCCTGAAATATGAACAGGCACTCTGATATCAAGGCCTGTGAAAAAACTGGAATTTCAGTAAAGAACAAAGTAATTTACTTACCAGGTTGACTCTGAACAAAACTTCCAGGATTTCGTGCATGGACTGGTAAGAGTGGTTGTCCTTGAATATAAGATACAGGCTGACCTGATGCTATTGACATAACAGGACCCTGTCAAGAGAAAGTTGTTGTTTTAACCTGAATCTACTGTTATGTAGATGCTACACTATGTTGCTTTGTTCCAAATATATCAGCTGTAATCTACATTCTCCTACAAGCACAGGAGAAAACCAGTAACACAAGTGGAATGATGTATCAGTTAATCTATGTATAAAATATTAAAAGTCTAGAAATCAAAAAATCAGTATTAGAACAATTCATTTCCCGCCAGATGAACCAACAATATTAGCTAAGGAACAGATATATAAAATATTCTAAATTAAAATGTGATATCATTATCTTTTTCTCACATGCCAAATGATATGGATGTGGCAACCTTCACACTTGAGCCTATGATGCAAGAACTACACCAGTTTCACCAATTCTGTCTCAGTTGCATAATAACTAAGGTACCATTCTAAAACTATTTAGAAAGAAAACAGTCCGACAACTCCAAGCAATTCTCCAGGCAATCTGCTAGGAATTTTAGGACTTTTTCCATATATGAATACACACTAAAATAATGTAAAAATGGTAATAGGCTAAAAATGTCTTCAGTATCAGGATTTTGTTAGCCGATTATTTGGATAACAAATATTTATCTTCAAGGTCAGGGTTTTATTTCATACTATAATCAAGATGGTTGAGTCTGTCTCTGCAATTGTCAAAATTTTTCATGATACTGTGATGCAGGTACAACAAATGTGCACCACGCACAAAACATAGCTTTTCTACATCAGTCTGCTCCATTGAAATGCCTAGACACACTTAAATGTAGCAAAAGATTTCATGTACAATTATGTACATTTTGTGGATTTTTTTAAAGAAACAGTAGGCAGCTACTGAGGATGCGGCAGAAATAAGCATGCATTTATCCATCATCAAAACTGTAATTTGGCAAAATGCTTACCTGCTGTGGTGGCTGAACATTTCCCAAGGTCATGCTACTGAAATTTCCATACTGGGGGCCCTGAAGATTCTTGTCATCATAAAAAGGCGGTCCAGGAGCCCTGTTAAGGGTATTAGCGAAGGCCTGTGCTCCAGAAACAGGTGGCCCATTGAAGCTCGGTCCTTGAGGATTATCGAAGATTTGCTCAGGTCTCTGAAACTGCATTCCTTGCGATGGCCCATTATATGGCGGCTGGTTGGGAGGTTCATTGTAAGGGCCAGTCTGTCCATAAGGCGGTGTTTCAAGTCTTGAGGCAGGATGATTAGCTACATTTTCAATTCTTGGACCAAGAGGGATATCAAAGCGTGCTGTCTGCTGGTGTTGAGGATCGTCAAACCGTTGAGGCATTGATGTATCAAATCGTGGTTGCACCTGACCTGGTGGCCCTTCGAACCTAGGGGGCGTCTGCTGAGCAGGACCCATTTCACATCTTGGACCAGGCTGTACATGTAATCCATCTAATCTTTGCAAATGTGACGGCTGGCCATCAAATCTTGACTGACTGCCATCAAACCTTGGGCCTGCTTGGTTAATAGACCCTTCAAACCTCATCCCACCTCCAGACTGGACTGAAGGTCCCTCAAACCTGGGCCCAATTCCTGGTTGTCCAAGTGGTCCCACAGGCTGACTATGAGGCCCATCAAATCTGGGTCCAACCCCTGGTTGGCCATGTGACCCCATAGGTTGGCCATGAGGCCCCTCAAACCTCAGACCACTAGCTGGCTGTCCATGTGCACCCATAGGCTGCCCGTGTGGTGCTTCAAACCGCAAATTACCCCCTGGTTGGCCAAGAGGCCCCATTGGCTGTAAATGTGGCCCTTCAAACCGCAGACCAGACCCTGGTTGCCCATGAGGTCCCATTGGTTGCCCATGGGGACCCTCAAACCTCATTCCACCTCCTGGAGGACCATGAGGTCCCACAGAACGGTCAAGAGGCCCTTCAAGCCTTATCCCACTTGAAGGCTGGCCATGTGGACCTTCAAACCTCATTGCACCTGAAGGCTGGCCATCAAACCTCAAGTTACCCGAAGGCTGATCGTGCGGTCCCTCAAACCTCATTCCAGCAGATGGTTTACCATGTGGGCCATCAAACCGAATCCCAGAGGATGGATGACCATGAGGTCCCTCAAACCTCATCCCACCTGAGGGCTGACCATGGGTCCCTTCAAATCTCATGATGGCCATAGACTGGCCTGCAGGCCCATCAAACCTCAAAGCTCCACCTGGCTGTCCCATAGGACCTTCAAATCGTATAGCAGTCCCTGCACCAACTTGCCCTGAGGGTCCTTCAAACCTCAAGGAACCACCACCCATTTGTGCTGGTGGCCCATCAAACAGCAAAGAACCTTTTCCACCAGATTGTCCTGGGGGCCCGTCAAACTGAGAAGTTGGCTGGCCTAGAGAACCCTCAAACCTTAAATTAGATTGTGCTTGTGGTCCTTCAATTCTAGAATTTGTATTAGCTGGCCCTTCAAAATGCGTTGTTTGTCCATCTCCACCAGCCCTTGCGCCAGGGTGTCTAGGAGAGCCCTCAAAATGAGATCTTTCTTCCATCAATGAACTAAACCTTTGCTTTCCATCAGTAACCCCAAATCGTGATCCTGGCCCATCAGTAAATTGTTTCTCTGTATCTTCGTATCTTGATCTCTTGTAGTGGTCACTGAATGGGGATCTCTGCTCCTCTCGGATACCTTAAAAAAAATATTATAGACTAAGTGAAGTTTACTTATCACCAACCCTATCATATGAAGCACGTTTATACCAGTCTGAAAAGTACTTCCTCCAGTTTATCCAATTTGTGAACTCCAACATGTTCAATTTCAGTATGCTTCTGCACACTTGACCGAGGAAATATTTAAAGCCAATTAACACTTCTTAATTATAATACAAAAATAGCAGTATTTTCCCCAAAATTTCTTGTACCTTTTGAAGAATTCGGTTCTTCATGTCTTCTCCGGCCATCGTGTGCTGAATTATCAGAGTATGGTCTGCTACCACCAACAGGGGAATGTCGCTTTGATCTTTCACCAAACTGGCCTGCACACTTTTTTGTTTGCTCACAGTCTTTTCCAGAAAGAAATGCATCATTTAAATGATAATCCAAAATTTCTTCAGCATCCATCAGGTTGTGTCTGGGAAACGAACGCTGAACTTGTGTTCTTCTTAGTGTAGCTTTATGTTCATGATATATTAACTCTGATTCAGACAATAGGGGCTTCTTTTTTGAAATTCCCTTTTCACCTGTGGGACTATCCCACACATTGCACCTGTGCTTTCCTTCCTGATACTGGAATAGCTGTCGAATCTGATGAACCAGAACAAGAAAATCATCTTGTGTTATTTCTCCAGATGCCAAGCGATCACTTGCCTGCGAGAAGAGAAAATGTTAACAGTTAATTTGAAAGGCCTTTAAGGGGGAGAAAAAGCCATAAACCAAAAAGAGGTTAACATTTTACCTTCTTGAGCAGCTCTCCCTTGTTTGCCAAGGTCAATTCTTTGGGAATCTGCAAATTAGCATCCACACTTAATCGATGTTGTTGCTTTGGTGTGCGAGGCGATGGCACTCCTTTACTAGTCGCCCATGTGTCTCTGTGCCTCTGATGAGGTGATTTACAAGGTCCTTGATGTTCTTCATTAAGTTGGGGACTGCAATCAACAGATAACACATGACTTTATGGTTTCCCTACATACAGGCAGTAAAAGTTTTAACTTTTGTTTCTGCATTTTAACAAAACACTGTGTCTATCACAGTGACCTTAGATCTGCAATTACTTGAGTAGAATGCAATTCACATGCAGTAACTTACTTTTTATTTTCTTCCCAACCAGACTTCCATCTTTTGCTTGATTTGGAACCTTGCCAGTTCTCCACATTTTCCTTTGGTTCCAAACTTGCTTTTGAAGGATGCTGATTCATTCCATCCTGTGTTCGGTCTTCATGAGTTTTCTTCAGCCTTCTAGAATCTCTCACTTCCTGTTTAAGACTTCGCTTATTAGAGCTTCTTTCATCCCGTATTCCTGGCCCAAAATCCTCTATGTGGGATTGCTTTGGCCCAGACTGTCGAGGCTTCCCAGTTTTAGGTCCAGAAGGAGAGAGACTTCTGAGCCTTCTTTTGGGTGACCTCCTTTCTCTTCGCTTTGGAGAATGGGAAGATGGGGATCGAGATCTAGGAGAGCGTGACCTTTTCCTAGTGCTTGACCTTCCTGGTTTTCCACCTGGTTTCTCTGACTCTTCAGTATTGGTATCTTGCTTTTGCACAACGCCATTAATTATTTTATTTCTCCCTCCAACTGATCTATGCTCTTCTTTGTCTTTTCTCTCCACGCTTCTTCTCTTTTCTTTTATATCTTCATCTTTGCCCTCTGGCTTCTCTAGAAGATGCTTTTTTAATCTGGGATCTCTCTTACTGATTTCAGTAACCCTGGTATTCTCACATTCTTGATTTCTAGTATCTTTAGCATGGAGCAGCTTGGTTTGCAAGGGAGATGGTGATTTTGATTTTGACTTTGCATCAAAATGATCAAACTCTTTCTTCTGCAACTTTTCGCTTTGTTTTTGTTTTTCCTGCTTTGACACATTTTGTTTCTCAGCCTGCAGGTTTTTGCTAGGCTTTGGATCAGGCTGACTGGCTGGATTCACTACAAAGTCTTTCCTGTGACTTTGATCTTTAGAATGAGAATGCTGACTTGATCTATTAAGACGAGGGTCCCTGTTTCCTGCTTTGACATCGTGGAGTGGCGACAGACGTTTTTTCTCAGGTGGCAGACAAACCTGATGGGAAGCTTTAAGAGGCATGTGAGGTGGTGGTGGAACGTGCGGTTTCAAAGATGCTTGCCCCAAGCTGGATCCACTTTGTTGAACACTAAGGGAAACTGCCTTAAAGGGGGTGAAATAAAAGTTATTTAGAATACAAGCACTTCAGCATTCCTAACATTTCACTTGCTTATGACAAATTAAGAAATATGAACTACATAAGGAAATGTCTTCCATTTGTATGTGGACAAATTATAAAGTTCCAAGGAGGAGGAGATGTAAGATAGATGTGTATAAGAAAAGAGATATGATGGTTAAAGATGTATAAAATCTTTCATTTTATTTTTAGGTCAGCCTTTTTTAGTATTGCTCTACAATATTGACCATCTATGTGAATGTCAAAACATGCACACTTTTTCAACATCAGGTGTTGGAAATTTATCAGTATTTCCATTTTTAGTCTAGTTTTCCAGTTAAATATACTGAAATAATATAAATTAAGTTTCTGTAGCCAACAAGGTATGGCTAACCATCCTGAGATGCCAGTAGATGAATGGTCTATAAAAGCCATCCATCCATCCATAAATAATCTATCTATCTATCTATCTATCTAGAAAACATTAGAATAAGGAAGTTCTGCAATCTGGTCTTTTGGAATAAATGCTGCTTGAATCTTATATAGATTGAACAAAAAATTCCAAGACCTGCTGTCAAAATATCAAGTATGACATCGCATGCACACACTTAAATTCAAGAATATAGAATTCATAAAACTCTCACCATGGAAGAGCCGGTTTGTTACATCAGTCCTGACAATTTATATCCTATGGAATCCCCCACCCCCCACACACAATCTGTGTAATTTCCAGTATTTACATTGGCAAGGTAGAAAATCTTAGTGCAATGGTCTAAACAAAAGCACTGGAGTATACTAAATTACAGCCGGTAGTGTAGAACTGGCTGTGTGATTTATGGATGAAGTGCAGCGCATAGCAAAAGTTGGCTCCATTATTGGCAAGATGAATCCACTTTGAATGCAAACTCAGAATAGTGCAGAAAAATCCATACCCACCTTCAACAAGCTAAGGGTATGAATACAAGGTATTATCTGTACCGATTAATCCAATGTAAGAAAAGGTATAATGTCTGTAGAAGTTCCACAAGTCTACTAACTGAAGTCAGTAGAAAGGGATTACCAGCACTGCACAGTTAAACACAGAACTCATTAGCTTGGTCAGGAAGTATCCATCCTGACATGCTACAGATACTGATCTATCCTACTCACCAGTTGTGCTTTAGTCTGCTCTAGTTCCAGTTCTAATTTTTTCTGTTGAAGTTCTAATAACTGCTTTTGTTTTGCCAGTAGCTGTTGTCGTATTATTTGTTCTTGAGTCAAATTCTTTTGCATTTCAGGAACAACTGGAGCAGAGGGCACAGCAGCGCAGGATACAGGAGAACACACCGTAGTGCTAGGTGCAGGAGGTTCTTCGGGCTACCAAGAAAATGGGAAAGAATGTGATTCTTTCTTATGGTGAGAAGTAGCTGTTAATTCAAAGCTGCATGTTCTACTGTTTCATTTACATTTTTTACTTTGCATATGAGCTAGAACTTATGATCGATATATTTTCAGGCACTTGATACCTTTTGTAAGAGTTTGCTTTTACCTTATTTACTAGAATATGACAACTAAGTACTAGCTTTAGGCTATAAGCATTGCCGTTTAAACATCATCCTCAAAGTATGCCAAGGCCAAAAGTGTGTCACAAAGTGAGATAAACACAGTTTAAACCACAGTAGTTGCAGCAACTTACCGATTTATTTAAAAACTTAGGATTCACATGGATGCTAGAAGTATTCACATTAGGGGGTAGCGGCTTAATTGGCCAAGCAGGGTCTACTGAATTCACCCGGACATCGAGAGCATACAGTTTCTTCAAAGGGAAAATTTCATCCCATGTGGAACGCAACTTAAATAAACTTTTCCTAGTATTTTCATCCACCTAAGAACAACAGAACAATTCTATGGCTTGTTAAGTTTATATAACACAAATTTATGCTTCGTACTACAATTCAGTATCAGAGAAACTGTACTTTGTGATTGTACTCTTTCTCATATATGTACATTAAGTTCCATTGAAATAAATCAACAGAACCCAAGCACACATAGCTAAATAATGTAATACAACTGGCAAATGCAGTGATTTGCAGGATGCACTATAAACATCTAAACACAGTAATACTTGCATTAGATTATAAAGATACAGGTACAATACCCATTTCATTTCTAAAATACATTGGCTGCCAGATAATCCCAACTGGAACCTCAAACAGTTCACAAAAAAACTTAAGATCACAATATTAATTGATGTTTCATTTCCTCAGTTTTTTTAATATTACCTCTCTCATACCTGGTGAGGAAGAAATCCAGTATAAGTGATACACAGCCATGGCCTTTTTACTCAAATCAAGGAGTAAATATACAATGGACCAGGCTGTGAACAACTGCCATAAGATAGTCAGAAATTAAATGTTATTTCTTGTTCAGTCAAAACCAAGGACATGGCTTTAAGCTGGCACATCTGGTGTTCATACAAGGATTGCCCAGCAAGGTTTGTCCAACAAATGACTTGATCCAGATTGTCATGCTTAGTGTAGACAGACTCTTTCGATGTACCTACCCTAAGCATGAGTAAGTTTGGTTCTAACCCTGCAATTTTAATATTAAAGAAAACTCGGTAAAAGGATACACATTTATTCAATCGCTTCAGTATTTAAATAATTTAAGTACTCAACATTTTGATTCAATGGCACTTAGGCACCCTAATAAACTCAAGTTACTTTCCCTCATTCCCTCCAAAGCATATCTGCCATTCAAAGAATTTATAAAGGGAAGTTAAATCTTCATTTCACTGTTTTTTAAAACTCTGGTGGAATTCTGCTGTTGCTAGAATAAAAGCAGAATAAGGTTTGAAGGAGCCAGTAAACCTATCAGGTACAACCCATAATCAATTACTCTAATTTAAATAAAAAAACATGAACAAAGAGTACAGAACTGAAAAGGCTGGGAGACAAAAGGTCTCAATGATCAAACTAACTTTTACAGATCTAAGTAGGCTCCATTTAAGTCGCCAAAGTCTGCATATTCCTCTGCTAAAATTGACTGAAATCCAAAGCTTATTAACAGGTAGAGAAAAATAAGCAAACACACGCTTGATCATCAATTCCTCTGGAAGAATAAAAAATACATGCTGAAAGTACAGTGAGCTGCACTCTTAAAGAATGTAGCCAAACAAGTGTTTGCGTTCACTGATGTGACTCAGAAGCACATTGCAATGAATGGCAAAAGATAGAATTGTGCTTCGTTTATCCAATTTTCTAATTTTTATTTATTTTAATACAAGTCTTCTCACATTAGCTATGCCCTACATGTTACATGCTAAGGACCAGGTCACATTCTGATACTTGCTTTCTGAGTATCAGTTGTGTGTGAATACAAAAGCCCAAATATGTAGTTCTATTACTTTCTTTACACTTAGTGCCCAAGAAAACCCAAGACTGAGTGACAAGTATTTATTCATACAACAACAAATCTGAAACATTTACGAAAGCACATCAATATGTACCTTTTCAAAAACATTAACAAATGTTGCAACTAGGTTTTTAGTAAATGCATCAAGATATTCTCTTCCAACGTTCTTGACAATGGAGTCCATAAGGTACATAACAGGAAGTTTCTCATTAGAAGGAGCCTGGAGTAATAAGAAGAAAACTGAGACATTTAGTTATAACAAAAACATTTTGATTTCTCTCTCAATTAAGGAGTTACCATTCCCAGAATCACCATACCCATTTGTAACCATTTTGAACTAAAGAATGATTCACATAATTTGAGAAGCTGACTAGCTCAACACAAACAGCAAAAACCCAAAGATCAGCTTTGCTATTATCTGGTGGATTGTGTTTTCCTCTAACAGAAAGGGATATTCACTTTTTCTGGCAGAAAGAAATGGCCCATGACACAAAATTACTGTTAGGGGTGTCCAACACAGCCACTTTATATTCTTAGAATATAATTTGAGGGAACAAGTTTCTGCTGGAATCTCTAGAAAATGGGATGTGAGCCAAGAATTTCCATGTCCCATAAAATAAAAGTCAAAATGCTCAGTAGTAGAAGCGATGGTAAATAGCAGTATCTTTGAGTGAGCCACATTTTTTTAAAGTTACTTTGCTGCAATCCAGGCAAATGTCACCAACTCAGACCAGCTGAAGCAATCCCACAGACTTTCTCAAAGCCGTATGTAAGCCATACAACTGGAACAAAAAAAAAGGAGTACACATCCACAATGGTGTTATGTTGAACAGACACGACCAAAGACTGGCACGGAAGACAGTCTTCAAGGCTGGAAGCTCGTCAGTGACGAAGGAGCCAAGTCAGATTTTTTTCCGTCATACATAAGATGTGCCCCAAGTTCGTGCAGCGCAAACTGTTGTTGAAACTGAACTTCCAAAGAAAGTGGAAGCCTTCTTAGTTCCGTTCAAAATGCATGTTAATGTCTTGTCCATATCAGGAAGGGGCAGCAAGTTTCGAAAGAGCATCAACATGTACAAGGGACTGATGGGAACGATTATTAAATGAGTCTAACACAGGTTGTAGATTAACTGTCCTCCTTTTGCACAGGAGTGATTTAATTCCCACTTACCACCTAAAAATTCTAAACATCTAGTATTTACATGGTTTAATGCCTGAACAGGGTTTATAAGCAATCAACAGTCTGCTATCCAGACAAAGTATTATCCAATTGTCCTTGTAACTATTGACTTCCAAGTAAATTGAAATGAAATTTGCAGAAAGTCTGGTAACACAGACCTTTTAATGTGGATAAACCTGAACCAGCTTTGATTTTATCTTCAACCTAAAATGTGTGGGTTGGAGGCAGGGGTTGCCACACAAAAGATAATCAACCCATTAGACTTCCATCTTCTAAAATTTGCTTCAAAGGTATATTAGCAAATCTTCAACCAGGTAAAACTTTTACCAAATTGCATATAATGAAAAATGAAGAGCAGAGGGGAGTATACTTTTATATGAAAACAAAAAGCGCTCATGTAGGGTAAAGTATTAACTCCCTAACAGTTGGCAATGAAAGTAATTATACTAGACACAATTTGACAGTGTATAAACTGTCAGGAACCATTTTTACTTATCGTAATAGGAGTTGGTAAGTATTAAGGTACTTGTGGCACTTGTACCCTGCTTTTAAACCCCATGTGCGGTAGTTCTCACAGTCAAGTACAGCTGTCAGAAAAACACAGCTGACTATCAATATCTTTTTCCCAGAAACAGTCACTATTTTCCTCTTAATTTTAAGCAGTGGAACTGCTATTTCCAAGGATAAAAAAACGAACTTGTAATACACTCACAGATCTGTGAAAACTGTGTGTGAAATTTTGTGAAACAAGGGAGCAAGCCTACCACAGAATCTGTTTTTAGGGCATAGAAAGCAAACTGCAGCCTTAAATGAGTGGAATGCCACATTTGAGAACCAGGACTTAAGGCTACAGTGCTTAAATTAGCAAACTATTCCATTAATTTCTGAAAGGAAACACAATAGGGTATGTTGGGGGTACACCCCCCAAGTTGAGGAAAACCCAAGTTAGATTACCAAGCAGCCCCGTAAGGCGGGAAAGCAACACAAACCACCAAGAACCTGAAGGTAACTCCAACTCAAACTGATCTGTAGGGAAACCATGTCCAGAGTTCTCAACAGAATGCTTGCTGCACTCCTTCAAACATCATATGAGTGTTGAACATGTGTGGGTCTGTGTTTTTCTGTTAGACTTCCCAAACAGTTTTGAGCCTTCCTCATACCTTTGTTGCAAACCCAGGCCACAGAAAAATTTAACACTTTGGAAAGAGATTCTGCACTACACCCGGTAAATAAAAAGACAAATACATATTTCATACATTTTATTTACATTTTTGAATACCAATCACACATTTCAAAAATCATTTATTTAAAATGTAAGCAAACCACTCTGTTTTACACTAAATAGAAACTGTCCCCAGACAACACTTTCTTTCAAAAGTGGTTTTCAGAGAACTCAAATCTCTTCTTTCATCCTGGTCACTAATGACAACTAGGCAAATCTAATTAGAAGTACAACTTTCAGATAACTTTAAATACACTTAGGGGAAAACTATGGAGCCACCCCAAACCCAAACAACAGCACTGGAATTTATTTGTATTATGTACTTCCAGTCATTAACAGAAAGACTGAAAAGAGGAAAGTGTCTGGAGAATATACTGATGTTAACCAACCTGCATGATAAGCAGCCTTCCCCTATCCCACCTTCCATTTTTATTACCATTTAAAATCCCAGATTGAACTAACAAATAAAAAGCCCAAGATTCTGGAGGAAGCCAAGTGGGGTGGGTGAAGGGGAAGAAAAAGAGCAAGAAAGTGGAGGTGTTTAATGAAGTTATGCTACCCTTTTGCTATTTAAATAAGGATCAAATGTCACTGGAGTAAAGGTGTAATAACATGTATCACATGCAGCCCACTGAATTATGTAAAAAACGTCTGGACTGTATACAGTCTACCCTTTCTTTTTGCATCATGCGTGTTTCCGGCGCCATGTTGCAATTGTACATAGGCTGCTGCGGTTCCTACAGACAGGGTGGAACATTTACTTCCCTGCCTTAATGAATGGGCTGTTCTAACAAGAAGTGGATCATGCACACACAGACACACACTCCCTTCTAATCTGTCATGCCTCTATTTACGTGAAGCATTCCAAAAATATACTGATCCTCCTTCCCCCACAGAAATGAGTAACTGAAGAGAGAGAGAGACTTCTCACCCTTCATAACGAACAATCTTTCTAAGTCTTGCAAATCTAAACTTCTAAAATAACACACTGGAAAACATGATAAATCCATCCTTATTTATAATGCTTTTTGAATTTGGTCCACCTATTTAAAATAACAGATTACTAAATATTTTTGGTATAGTTTAATTAGAGACCCAAGCATGTTACTTCGGAGACAAGGACTGCAGGGCAAAGAACAGCCATTGCTGCACAGTCACTGCCAGGCCGCCATGTTGTGTCTCGTTTCTGCGAACTCCAAAACCCTGTCACAGTATCTTCCCAAAATAAGGGATGAGAAATCAGCTCCTCTCTTAAATTAGCTGTTTCTTTTTCGTGTTTTTCCAGTATCCTGTAACTGCACTGCCACAAAACAGCCAATCCACACACGTTTGCTATGGCCCCACATTTGTATCAATCCCCTCCCCCAAGCTACAGCTCAGACACCTAACCCTTTAACTAACCTCACTCACAGCCATCTCCTTATTTTGCCTTGAAATTCCCCTCCCCATTTAAATAGACTTCACCAATACTCATCTCTATGTCAAAAGCAGGGTCCCACCTCATCACCCCGCTGCTCCTACTACTTCCACACTATTATTTTGTTTACATTTATGCTCCCCACTGGGCCAATACTCCAGAACCCTTTGAGACCGACCATTTTCTCACAGTGCCAAGATCCTTTTCCTAACCCCTCCATGCCCTTCTCTAGTCACCTAACCCCCTCTGGGTCTGTAGCTCCCACCAACAGTCTCCCTCTGTTCCCAAAGTCATAGCTTACAATTTGCATGTGCTTTATGTGCCCTGACACGTGCGTGCGTGCGTGTGTGGGGGGGCTGTTCGTACTACATGCTCAACTACTGTAGCCCTTGGGTGGCTTTTGCTCGTGTCACTCCCCCTGACCTCACGCTGAGAGCTAGCTGGGCCAGCAGGACAGCGTGTTGCATGCGTGTGAACAGAAACGCGATCAGACATTTCCCCTTTCTTCTCGAGAGCTCCTGCTTTGAGACCTCAGTCCCCGCCACACCACGTCCCTTGGCCTTCGCTGCTCGCCCCTTTCTCCATCACCCCACCCGTCTGCCTGCCTGCCTCAGTTTCCCCGCCTCGCTATACAACTACGGACCCCCCCCCCCGCTGCTTCCCTCCGACCTTTCCCCCTCCCCCGCTCCACGATGGGCCTTCCTTTACCAGACTGCTTCGCCCTCATCCCTAACTCCCAGGACCCCCGCCGCTTCCCGCCCCCTCCCCAAACCTGGTCGGGCTTTCTGTTTCTGTCTCTCTCTCTCTCGCATTCACACACAAGGTGTCCTCCCCCCAACGCCCTAACCGTTTTTCCTCTCCCTATCTCAAAACAAAACGGATCAGAAATAAAAGCGGGAAGGGGGGGGGTTGGCCCTAGAGATGGGGAAGAAGTTTTGGGGGGAGGGGGTTAGATAGAGCGTATTCGGCGTGTATAAAAACCTTGGCGATTTGCGCCTCGATCAGCGAGACGATGTCCTTGGCGAAGGGCACGTTCTCCTCGGCCAGGATGGTCAGCATGTTGATGTGGGGCTTGCTGTTGAACGTCAGGTCCTCCAGCGATGACTGGTAGTCGCGGCACGCGTCCTCGCTGCCGCCGCCGCCGCTGGCGGAGGAGGAGGAGGAGGAAGAGGAGGAAGACCCCTCCGAGGCCGCCGTGCTGCCGCCGCCGCTGCCGCCGCCCGACATCCTCCCCCGCGGGGCTGACAGGCCGGGGGAAGACGGCCGACCCCCACCGAGAAGAGAAAGAAGGACGGACGGACAGACAGCCCTCTCCTCCTCCTCTTCCTCCCGCCGCCCCTGGCTGTCGCTGGAGCCGCGCCGCCGCCGCTATTCCCCGCCGCCTCTTCTAGCTCATCCTCCGCTTCACCGCTGGCCGCCGCCGCCTTCTCGCCTGGCCGGAGCCGCGTTGGCCGCCGCCGCCTCCCCGTCAAGCCGCACAGCCTCCCTCACAAAAACACGCACAAAATGGCGGCGACTCCTGCGGCTCGCGAACGCCTTCTTCCTCCGGCTCCAACCGCTGCGTCATATGAAATTGTTCGGGGGAGGGAGGGGGCGGGCGCTTCGGAAGCGCCTTTTGTTCGCTGGCTGCGCCGCCATTGGCCCGCGGCTCCCCGCGAGCCGCACCCTGATTGGGTTGCTTCCCCTCTCCCGCCTGCTCTGCCCCGTGTCGCGCTTGCGATTGGAGCCGCCGCTTTCAGCTCGTGGCTCGATGGTGCCTCCCTGTCCTCAGCGGTGATTGGCTGGTCCGGTAGGCCGATGGCTATTTTCTTTTATTTCTGATTCGCTACGGAGCTGCGGTCCCGCCTTTCCGTATCTCTTTTGAAGTTGGGTTGGACCTTGAGAATATAAATCTTGTAGTACTCTGACGTTAGGCGTAGTTTTTGCCCCCCCCTCACTTGGGGAAAGGCGTAGGGCGCGTTTTCTATTGGTCCGTTCGTTTGCTCAACTGTTGCTATGGAAATGCGGGCCTTTCGAGGCCTACCTGAAAGTCACAAGGGGTGGGTGGATCCACGCCATAAATTTCCTCACGGTAGTTTGGCTGCTGGAACGCGTTGTACCACACACGGGCCTAGTGGCCATGGTAGACATCAGTTAAAGCTCTGCTAATGCTGTTTAATCCAGCGCTGCACTCTGCAAATATATGCACGTTTAAAATACACCACTGAGTAACATTTGGCTGGACTTTTTGTCTTTTCCTCCCCCATGAAAACGCAACCGCTTAGCCAATATATCGGTCAATGGCTTATTTTGAACGTGCATGTTTCGCTCCTGAAGACAGAGATTTGCGCTCAAACGACTTTTGGCCTAAAGTAGGCTTTCCATAAACACTATTAGTTTTGTGGTCCTTCTTCGGGAGTGTAGCATAAAGAAGAACAAATTACCTGAATAAATACTGATCTATAAATTAAAATTGATTCTGTGTATGTGTCTTGGCTTTTCCCCCCTTTTGGATACATTGGTACATCTTGGTAATCTGATCAATCTCTTGAAAATACAAATACATTGCTTTTCCCTGAGGGCCAAATGATTTCTTCTTTGTGGCCTGTCACATGATGAAACCTCCAGGAATACTTCTAACTGCTAGACACACCAATCTTTATTTAAAATTAAACCAAAACAAACTCTAATGACCTTTCTGAGACAGTCAGGAGACCCACAGGGGACCCATTTTGAATGTGTACACACAACGACGGAGGTTCACTTGTGGATAAGGGTAGAAATCTTCCAGTCTTTCAACACTATAGCCATCCCCTGGTTTTCTATTTCATAACCAACTTGCTATTTTGCTATTCAAAAAGTTTGGCAACTGTATATTAGGAGTTAATTTTCATGATTAATTTCAAGACTGAAGTCACCTCACGCTTGAAAAGGCTGATTTTGTGTAATGGAGAAGGTGTTTTACTTGAATGCCCCCGTGCACTGAAAAATTGTTTGGGTTTGCATGTGTTGGGAAAATTTGGATAAATCCTGTCTGAAAAGCATTACTCCTGTGTGCCTTTGCATTGTGGGATCAAATCCTGTCTTCCTTCTCAAAACCAAGCTGTCACTGTTTAAAATGGCATTCCCCAGCTCCTTTCTCTCACCTTTAGCTGTACGATACAGTAGGCCATTTTAGCCCAAATATGCATTATAATAGTCATTGTTGGAATTCAGTTTACAATAATCTTTTGATAGCCCAGAGGGCTTCATGTGCCCTGATCATGCAGAATGTTTAGAGTCGAGATAAGGGTCTGAGCTTATCATGAATAGTTTCTAGTAGCTTGAATTTGCATGTCTGAGCAGACCTGGAGATGGGTTCAAGCTACTCAACTAGAGTGTCAATGCAGACAATTAGAAATATTGTGATCTCATTGTTACAGTGTGATTGACTGACATTTCTTTATCTGTTCTGTATGTGATGACCTCGGAATCTTATTGTAATCTCTGCATTCTGTCATCGATTGCCCTGTACCTGTGTCCCTATAAATGCCCTGTAGTGGTATTGAAGCTTTGCAGCAGAGTTCATCTCTGCCTGCCCAGTAGTGCAGCCTGCATTATCGTGAGTGTACCACGGGAACCTTGGGGGTAAAACAATAAAGCCTCAGATGGTCTGGACTCTTGGTCTTTCCTACGAACCCGAGTTTTATTCCCTCTTCTCAAATTGAGATTCCGGGATTCTGACACATGCAGGATTCCTCTCTGAAGGAAATAACTCAGTGATTGAGAAACAGAGAGGCAAAGGACCAAGCCATGAAGCCTGTCTGAAGGAATGTGGAGGGGTGAAAAAGATAATTGGCTTGAAAGAAAGTTTGCTACTTCTTATCTCATCCTCCCAGTAGTTTTATGAGACAGGGGATCGTGGGGCAAGGTGAAGTTAGAGAGGGGTGAACTAGTGAACTTGTAGTTATAAGCATGCAGGCGTAATAGGTTGATGCATATTAACTCTCACACCTTGAATAGACAATAGTCTAATTATAATGCACATGTGATGTATGTAGATGCATGTAGTGGGATGAGATGGGAGATAAGAAGTAGGTAGACGGAAAGAGTGTAACCCTCTAGTACGTTACCCAATGACGGAAAAGGGGAGGACTGTGGCAGGCAAGTTGTGGGGTAAAAGGAGCTGTTTTGTGTGTTTGTACTTTGGAGAGATTCTGATAGAGCGGCTCTCCCCGTCTATTGCAATAAACGAAGAAATCGCCTCACTCTGTTGGTAGTCTTGGTTATTTAACTTGAGAAGTATTTTCGCAGCTTTTTGTGTAACATCTCCCTGCACCAACACGTGGAAGACGTCTGTGTACATGTTGACATGCACATAGGTTCCCTTCACATGGCTGCCAAACACATGGCTGGCTGGCTTGTGTGCACTTTCACAACAGAAGTCCTCATGTGGTCTCTCAAAGCATGAGAGAACCTGAGTGGAATGCATACATCCATGCAATAGGGATGGCCGTCATCTTTTTATCCTCCATCAGGACAGAAGGTATCATGTGAAGAGGGCTCGCTTGCCTAGTCTTTGTTTCTCCTGCAAGGCAATGCATGCCGCAAGGGTACATGTGCAAGACTCTGCCCCCTTCTGATCTTAAAGATGGCTGCTCTGTGGATGAAAGTATAGGCAGGTGTACAATCTTCAAGACACCTGAAGTTAAGAGAATAAGAATCTAAGAGCATCTGTGCTGGATCGGAGCCAGGGTCCATCCAGTCCAGCTGCCCACAGGATCCCACAAGCAGGGAGTGAGTGCAAAAGCACCCTCCCACCCATATTCTCCAGTAACAAGAGCATGAGAACAGCCCTGCTGGATCAGGCCAAAGGTCCATCTAGTCCAGCACTGCGTACACATGGAGGCAAAGCAGCTGCCCACAGGGTCCCTCCAGCAGGGTGGGTGCAGGACCTCCTTCTGCCCAAGCTCCGCAGCAGCTGGTGCATCCAGGCATGCTGCCTCTGGAAAAGCAAATTGCATAGGGCCAGCCATCCAGACTGGCAGCTGGCAGCACTTCCTGTGGCAGCAAATTCCATAATTTATATGTTATGTGAAGAACTTCCTTTAATCTTTCCAAAACAGCATGTTGTGGATGGAGCTTGCATGCACACCTCCAGCTTTCTACACACTTTTAGTCCTCGCATGTGCCAGGATAGTCCGACCTCCTCTAGGATGCTCCAAATCCTGAAGTACTCGTTCACCTCAGGGTTCCTTGGAACACATTTCGAAGATTGTTGGCTAGCTTCAGTGATTTAACCCGCACTCAAGGGTTCTTGTTGGCTTTTGTTGAACTGTGGATTATTGTGTTGTCTGAACACAGCTGTGCCAATGAGCCAGAGCTTATTAAACTATAAACAAGCCATGAAGAGAAATCATGGTTTATTGTAGGGTGGTGAACTGTGGGTTATTCATGGTTTGTTACCAGTGATTCAACAATTCATGTTTTGATGATAACCCAGACTCAACGTTGAGTGTGAGTTATTTTGTTGTCTGAACCCTGCCATTGTTTTCATGGGATATTACAAGAGCTGATGCTCTATAATGCCATAATCCAAGGTAATTCAATCCTGTTTCTTCATATGGCATGTGTCTTATTCTCACAGTTATGTACAGCTTCTTTGACCCTAGCAGCAACATGCTGGGGGCAACCTTTTTACTGGGCAAGTTACAGAAACTGTCTCTCTGAATCATTCCAGCTTAGCTGACATCACTCCCCTTTCAGCCCAGACCAGGCCATAAATAATTCACTTGCGCTTCTCAGTCCTGCAATCTCTGAACCGAGGTGAAAAACTGAAAGAGAAACAACAGTGATTAGATTAGCCGCCATTCCTACAACACTGAACAAAAAGCAACACGCCATGCTGTAAAGTCTGCTTTCCAATGGGCTGCTTTTTTCCCCCTCAGGCTTTTGAGAGGCTGGCAGCTTTCCACTAGGACTTGTTTCCCTATAGTATTATCCTGGCTATTCCTGCCTCTGTGTACCTGTATACAATCAAAGTGCACAAATGATTTATGCTTTTAAAGAGTTCGATCCCTTTGGAACTCATCATCAAATACGAAATTTTAATGGATGCTGAACTGCACAAAAAAATATGGGGTGTTCTGTCAATGCAGAGGAGCCAGCTTGGATCTCCAGGTCCAGAACCTTTCTGTTCTCCACAGAAAGAATCATTTTGATCCAGGACTATCAGCTACGTCACATCCCCACAGTTCTCATGAGAGATAGGCTGGGGGGTAAATACATGGATCTGTTGCAGGGAACTCCACTGCTTTCTCCCATCTGGCCTGAACTGGTAGCTCTACCTCACTAGGCCTCATTAACCCCACTCAGGATTGCTCTGCCACCTCCCTCGCATTGCTTTGGTGCATGTGTCTCGTGCAGCCTTGAAGTGCCAGAATTCACTCCTGCACTTAACAGCAGGGACTTCTCCAAGAAAATGTCTTTACAATCTCCTTTTCAGCTTCCTGGCTATGCTTGTGCTACTTGCAAACTCCCGGAGGAGCTCAGCAGGTATGTTTCACCTGCCCTGAAGATGACATAGTTTGGAGGGGTCCTTGGC